ATGTATTTATTTCTTGTAATTTTTTATATTTTTGCATAGAAGAATGGGTGTAGGCCAGAGGTGCAGGGGGTGAGAGGATTCACCAGAGACAGAGTGGGGAGCAGAACAGACAGATCTACTGAAATGCACTGCTGAGAGGAGCAGTGGGGAGACAGGAGAGGTCTGCTGCGCCCTGTGGGTAGCTCCCTGGCTGGGATCGAACTCTGGCCGCAGTAGTGATAGCTCTGAGACTTAGCCCCCACGCCACCAGGGAGGCCCTCAAGTATATTTAATGGGGCTAAATTCCTATAGTTCAAATGGAATTATGTGTATTTTACTGCAATTAGAAAACTTTAAAGCAATTTAATGATTAAAATGATAAATTTTATGTTACATATTTCTTACTGTGAGGTGGGGGGACAGTGAGACAGCTGTCTAGATAAAAGCTAAGGATCCAAGGAATGAATTGATAAGTGCTCCTACTGCTTGTAGACCTGGCATGAGGTTGGATTGACCAGTGCCATGTGTGTGGGTGAGGGGTGTAGAGTGCGGGTCACAGTAAGGGCCTGGTTTCCAACTCCTCACCCACATTGTCTTCCCCGTGGCTGGCACTTCCCTGGGAAGTGACTCTGGCCGAGAGCGGAGGATGGGAGGCTCCAGAGACCCCTGGGCTTCCCAACCCTGCCAGGGTGCTTTAGGGTTGCGCCGAAGATACCACTCGTGCAGCATTAGAAAGGGCATGTGAGAAGCTCCACATTAGTGCTGCATGTTGGGGAGCTGTGGGCAGCTGTCATATACAGTTGGTGGGAGTGAGTGGAAATTGGTAAAACCACTCTGCAGGGCAGTTTGCCAAAATCTGTTAAAGCTGCAAACAAGTGTGTACCCTCTGACCCAGCAACTCTACTTCTCTTCCCTGGAGAGACTCTTCCCCAGAGAGAGCCTTGTGTGTATGGCCAGGAAGGCAGCAACAGCAAGCGATTCCTCAATGTAGTGTTGCTGCATGTGGTCAAGACTGGAAACTAGCTGGGTACCCAGCAATAGGGGAGTGGTGGAATCAGACAGGACAGCCGGAAAAGCTGCGCAGCGCTGAGATGCACGGCGTGCCCCGGGCAGCCTCATGGGGTAGGTCTTCAAGACAGCTTGCGTGAGCAAAGGAAGTTGTGGAGTCCTGTGTACGTTCTGGCCTAGTTAATGTATGTCTAAGAAATCAGTGGTGTGTGCTTGAGAGTGTAAGCTGTGCTGTTATAATAAAGAGTTCCCCAAATAGGAAGGCTTAAGTGAGGGAGTGTTTTTTATCCTCTGAGGTGTGGTCTAAGATGTGTGATGTTCCAGTTACCTGATGTTGCATGAAACAGTCACAAATGCCTTTTGTTCCTGGATTCTGTGGGTGGGGGTTGGGAACCGAGGAAGGCTTAGTGCGGATGGCCTGCTGCGCTCTGCTGTTGGAGGCCTTAGCTTGGAGGACTTGAATGGCTTGGAGTAACTGGCGTGGCCGGGCCTGGATCTTCTGGAGATGTCTTTGCTCCCAGGTCAGGGGCCTGAGCTAGAAAGACAAGCAGGTTTGTCTAAGCCAGGACTGTGGACCGGGTGCCTGCACGTGTCTTCTCTGTGTGGCAGGTTCCGCGTGGTCACTCACAGTGGTTGTTCCAGCGAATGAGGCGGAAGCCACCTGGTCTTCCTTGAGTCTTTCTCAGAAATTGTATTGAGTCACCCCTGGCGTGTGTCGTTGTCAGGCCAGGCACGAGTTTTTCTGGATTTAAGGGGTGGAAACAGAGACCCTGCCTTGCCTCTCTGTTTTGAGCAGTAAAGTATGGGAGATCTTGTTTTTAAAACCATCACAGCTGAGAAGCCTGGTCACATGAGGTCACCAGGGGTCCAGGCTTGTTTGGCTCAGGGTGGGGCTGTGAACACTGCCATTTGCATCCGGAGCTTCAAGGTCACTGGCTCCATTGTTGCCCTACCCCAGCCAGGGAAAGGGAGAGTGGAGGGCAAGGCAATCAGCTTCCTATAAAAATGTGGTTCAGAACCTACCTCCTTCCACTTGGATCCCATTGGTTAATCTAGGTTAGGGCAACGCACTTAGCTGCAAGGGAGGCGGGACGGGGAGCCTGTGGCCAAGCCACCATGTGCCAGCCATTGTCTCTGGTGTCCTGTTCCTAGAAGAAGCAGTGGAGGCAGAATTTAAGTATCAGGGACAGCTAGTTTCTGCAGCGGTTATGTTTCCACATATGTGTGTCTGTATTTGGGTGTGCATGTAGAGGTAGATTCATGTAGAATGTAGAAATACACAGCTAGACAACTATAGCCTGGAAGAATACCTGGGAAAAGGTCTAGGAGAAGCTGGCAACAGGGTTACTTCTGGGGAAGAGGAGAAGCTGGGCTAGGCGCTCACTCAAAGCCAACTCCAGCTGTAGCTGTGGTGTTTTAATTTTTAACAAGGATAATGTCTTCACATTTTACTTGTGCTATTAAATAGTAATTTAAGAGAGCTTGGTGAGCATCTGGCTGCTGATTTTGCAGTCTTATCTGGCTGATAAGCACCAGGGGGGCCAGGGCGGGCTGGTCCTTTATCTGCCAGGAGCCTCACCCCACCTTCCCGAAGGCAAAGGCATGTGGTCCAGCTCTCTCTCCACCCCTCCTCCCGGGCCCCCTGGAGGCCTCCATTATCACCAGCACTGAAAGGAAGGTACCCTTTAGTCACTGAAGGCCCCAAAAGCATGAAAACAGCCCCCCCCCCAGGTTACTTAGTGATGACAGATGGAAAGCTGGGGCTGTGCCGTGGGGGCATGGCCCCCGCCTCCCCCAAGCGGGAGTCACCATCACGGACACCGAGGCCCTCCTGCGGGAGACCCTGAGGACACAGCTTCACGTTAGTAGCATTTCAGCCCCGAACACCTGACAGGAATCTGTCGTGGAGGAACAGCAAACCTTCCCTGAATGAGGGAAGCTCTAAAATGTCGATGTGGAAGACGAAGGCCGAGGAGCGACAGGAGACTGACGGCCACTACAGAACCCGAGCAGAAGTACAGGGCAGGAGGCAGGCGGGGTCCTGGGCCTGGGGGTGCCCTAAAGCGACAGTTTACAAACCTGAACTTGGATGGCCTCTGAGGTTCCCCTGGCGGGTGGCAGGGAACATTTTCTGCATCTGATGGCGGCGTGTGTTGTGGCAGCGACTGCCTTGCGCTCAGGCGGCCCCCATGGAGCGTGGGGTAGAGAGAGAAGCGCGTTGTCTACGACTGACTCCCAAATGGTTTAGAAGAGGGGGAGGCGGACTATTTTGGCAAAAAGGCCAAAGCAGTGAGCATTTTCGGCTTTGCGGACCACATGGGCCCGTCACAACTAGTCCCCGAGGTCCTGGCGCCGGAGCGCTGCAGCACTGTGTGGCGGGATGGGCCTGGTCACGGCCGGGGAAGTTTGTTTCTGGGTCCTGAAGTTCCAATTTCAGACGCTTTTCACGTGTCATGAAGTACTCCTGATTGTTTCCAACCCCAGGAAGACCGTTTCCAGCTAAGCGCCTGCACAGAATCAGATGGCCGGGCCTGACCTCGGGCTGGAGCTTGCCAGCGCCCCATGTGGAACAAGAACACACCAGACCCGGAGTCACGCAGTCACACGCAGTCACACGGCGCCAGGGGGCATGCTGCTGGCGGTGGGAGAGGGGATAGGGGAGTTCTTGGTTCTCACAGTTCTTCTGCAAGCTTGAAATCTTTGAAAGATAAAAAAGTTAAATAAAAGGAGGCCCAGTTTTCTTCCTTGGGCACGCGGGAGCGAGAAGGAGCCGATGTGGATCCCGCGGACCAGGCCTTCTCTCCTGGGCGCCCGCGGAGTCCTGCGCACCCGCTCCTGAGCGTTGCCCCGGCTGCTGCCTGCTCACTTCCTGCCCTCGCTCCGCCTTCTCTCGGACTTACCCTTATCTCTAGGCGCCCGCGTGCCAGCCATGAGAATTTAGACTCCCGCTGCTTGACCAGCCTCTTTTCCTCTCTCTCCGCTAAATACATTTTTTCGTCATCCAAGGAAGCGCTTTAAATAAGTTCATTGGATTTTTGGGTTTAATTTCATGGTTCCCGCCCTCCATATTGGTTTCTCCACATTGTTACTTGTCTTTGGCTATCACACTCCTCAGAGAAGGGGTTGTTTCCCTGCGTGTGGTGCCATTTGGGGGGCAATGTGGCAGCATTGACCCATCCTCCTGGCATTGGGACGAAGTCTCTTGTGCGCTCCCTGACCGTGTGGCCTGGAGAGTTATTTCCAGGAATGAGTCAGAATTCATCACAGTGGCTGTGCCTGGACAAGGAGGCTGGGCTTTAAGAGCAGAGGAGTGTCCTTTTCTTACTGACTTAGCACATATTCTCTTCATTGCCAGCATCAGAAACTCAACCCAGCTGGCTTAAGTGAGAAGAATTATTAATTCATTCAGCCAAGAGTACAGGATAGCGTTGCATTCGGGCTTGGTTAGATCCGAGGGCTGAAATGATGCCCTGAGAGTTCTGTCCCGTTCGGTTGTCCTGTTTGGCTTCATTCTTAGATAGGCAGGTCCCACCAGGTGTACCTTCTACCTCATGAATAGATCCAGGAGAGAGAGGGCAGCTCTACACAACACCTCCAGCCGCAGTCCCAGGACTGACTCTCATTGGCCCAGTTGGAGCCATGTGTCCACAACCAGTCAGTTGCCAGGGGACTGGAGCTACAGATTGGCCAGGCCTGGGCCACGTGACCACTCTTGATGCAGGAGGCCTGCTCGAGCCAGGGACTAAGAATTGACAGGAGGGGTCCTGCAGAGCCATGTTTTCCTTACCGCTGGGAAGGCTGGATGGGAAAATACCATCCGTTCCTTCTTACACAGAGCGGGGCTACCTTCCCCATTCCAGCTCCCAGTTCCCCACCACATCCCTGACAGTTACTCGTATAGTCTCAGCTGTCAAACTGTGACCTCGAAGTCACATTCCCTGACACAAGCAGACTGTGAAAAACGACCCATTCACGTCCTCCCCTCCACCCTGCCTGGGCTCTTCCTCCCTCAGGAAACACACCGGATCTACAAGCAGAAGCTGGAGGAGCTGACCGCGCTGCAGACTCTGTGCAGCAGCTCCATCCACAAGCAGAAGAGCCGGCTAAAGGAGCTGAAGCGCACACTGCAGAGGTAGGGGGGCTGCAGCGCAGGGGCACCCCAGCACCTGACCTTACGGGTCAGAAACCCAACTCCTAAGTGACTTGAGCAGAGAGTGGAAATTTTAGTGGAAAAAACCAGGAACAGCTTCAGGCATTGCTGGATCTAGGGGTCAAAGGGTATTTTTAGGAATCTTACCCTCCTCCTAAATTCTGGCTTCCTCTAGATTGGCTTCAAGCTCAGGGTGACTGACCCCGTCAAGGTCACAACACGGCTGCCTGCAGTGCCAGACTTCTGTTCTCCTGCCTCGTTTCCTGCTGGCTTGGCCTCCCCTGCAGAACAAGGCCTTTCTGAGTCTTTTCAGCCCAAGTTCTGGGTCTGATCCTCATTGGCTAGAATTGGACTCTGTCTCAGCAAGATGGGGCTCTGTGCTCAGTTTATGAAGCTGGGAATGGGACAGCTCTACTTGAACTGTATTGTGGGCTTGGGCAGGGGGTGAGAGGGCGCTCCCCAGAGGAAAGTGGTAAGAGGTAGACAGCAAGTGCCCTGACCCCTGCCGCATGGTCTCTGGCGCAGGGGCTAGAGGTCAGGCAGCCCTGCGGGAGTGCCCTTCAGTGCCCAGCTCAGGTCCTGAGGCCAGGACACCCGTCCACTTCCCAGTCCTGGCTTTGGGAACTGCTCTCCTCGTCATGGGTGGAGGGGCCCAGTGGGTGGTGTGGCCCCCTAGGCAGCCAGGGAAGCTGAGACTCTGGGTCACTTAGCTGGGCCTCCGTTCTGCAGTTCGTGACGCTGATTCAATTCTTCCTGTCGCTCTGGGCGGTTTTGGGAAGGTTACTGATTACAGCCATGGCTGACCGTCTTGGAAATGGAGGCCCTTTGGTCCTGGGATGAGAACGGCTGCGTCAGTATGACGACTCGCGGGGAGTCACATCTTACTGGCGGCAGGACTCGCGTACCCTGCAAACAAACCCTAGGGATTTTCACCTTTGGCCCCATCGATGATTTTTGGCAGCAGGGGCTGTGCTGTGCACAATAGGGTGTTGAGTGGCATTTCTAGCCTCTACCCTCTCGATGGATGCCAGTAGCACCCACTACCCTTGTTGTGTTAACCAAAATGTTCCCAGACATTACCTGTGTCCCCCCAACCTGGGGTTAGAAGGTTGACTCATAAAGACCCCGACACCCCAAGAGCGTTTCTACGGACATATTTGTCTAGTATTGAGAGGTAAATATCACCAAACGGTAGCAGTCAGGCCTTGGCTGGTGGACAGCTTGTACTTTCAAAGCGCCTTCTTAGGGACCTCCCTGGTGGCCTAGGGGTTAAGTCTCAGCGCTATTACTTTTGTGGCCTGAGTCTGATCCCTGGCTAGGGGGCTGACCCACACAGCGCAGCTGACTATTCCTGTCTCCCTGCTGCTCCCCTCAGCAGTGATTTCAGTAGATCTGCCTGTTCTGTTCCCCACTCTGTCTCTGGTGAATCCTCTCATCCCCCACCCCTCTGGCCTATACCCCAGTTCTATGCAAAAATAAATAAAATGAAAGAGTATTAAAAAAACCAGAGCACCTTCTTATTAGACTTCCAGTGATCCCTTTAGAACAGGGGAAGAATGTTATTTCATTAGCCGTCACTAGCCGTTGAGCTGGTCCTGCGTGCCATGTTCTAAACGCTTTACATGGCACTTACTCAGCCCTATCTATGTGGTAGGGCATGCACTAGGGCATGCACTAGCTATTTTTGGGGTATGGAAAATAAGGCAGAGAGGTTAAAGGACTTGCCCAAGGTCGCCAGGCTAGCCTGGAGCCAGCATCAAACCCAAAGAGAACAAAGGAGAACTGATGTTTTCAGAAGCATTGAGATGGAAATAAGGCAGGGCAATGCTTCCAGATTCTTCCTCCAGCCTGAGTCATAGCCCTGCTTCTCCTGTGCCCACACCCCGACAGGTGTAAGTGCCATGCCCGTCGGGAGGAGGCGGAGCTCATCCAGCAGATGGGCACCAACATCAAGGAGAGGCAGAACATCTTCTTCGACATGGAGGCCTACCTGCCCAAGAAGAACGGGTAGGAGCTGTGAGCATGTCCCATCGCTGGGGCACCTGGTCTCTGTAACTTCCACCTCCCCAAGGGGGCTTGAGGTTGAGGGGAAAGGCGGAAGGTAGGGCCAGAAAGGAAAGGGGTCTTCTTTCCTGTTCCTCCCTGAGCTGCAGCCCCCACTGTGTGTAGTGACATTCCTGGGAGGGCATTTGCAAGGAACCAGATGCAAGATCAGGTTCCCAGCATCAGCCACCTGTCTGGTGCCCCCTGGGGTCAAAGGAGAGGTGTTCTTTTCCTAGAGAACCAACACGCATTGAGCACCGACTGTCTGGCCAGTGTCGTGCAGGGAGCTTTCTTTTTTTTTTTTTTTTTTTATAGAGGCATGTTTTATTTATTTATTTGTTTGTTTGTTTGTTTGTTTGTTTTGTTTATACAAGCACTGGGTACAGTCAGAAGTGCAGGAGGGTGAGAGAATTCACCAGAGCCAGAGCAGGGAGCAGAGCAGGCAGAAGGACCGAAGTACACTGCTGAGGGGAGCAGCGGGCGGCAGGAGAGGTCTGCGCGCCATGTGGGACCCTCCTCCGGGGGCCGGGGAGCAGCCGGGGATCGAACTGGCGCCGCAGAGGCCACGGGCAGCTTCGCAACCCAGCGCTCAACCGCTGCGCCACCGGGGAGGCCGCAGGGAGCTTTCTTAATGCCACTCCTCTTACCCGCAACCCAGTGAGTCAGATCAAGGTCCTGCCCATTCTGCAAGGCACAGAGATATTAGGGAGTATCTGGTGCGCAGCCCAGTGGGGGTTTGGTCAAGGCAGCATGAGGACACTAGACATTCTGACGCCAAGGCCTGAGTTTTTTTAGTCTCCCCCTTCAGAGACTTCCCTCCTCTTCCCCCAAGTGATGTTGCTGCCAGCCGGTTCCAGAGAGATCCTGAAAGCATATCTCGGGAGCTGACGTGGGCTGCTAGGCACCTCTCTCCGGCCTCCTCCCTGGTTTGACCCGGTGCAGAGGCAGAGTCTTCTTCCAGGAGACGCGCTCGCCCTGTTACATTTTCAGCCGTTCCTCTGGCTTCTCCTTCTCTGCTGTTTGGGTGGTGATGACTTTTCTATGGAATGAAATAACATGACCCTTTTTTACAGTGTGGCTCAAGTCCACGTGCCCAGTTCCACTCTCCCTGGTCCTCTGTGCATCTTACGCTAACCAGGAGTCTTTGGATTGCAAAGGACAGAACACCTAACTCAGAGTTGCTTATGAAAAAGTAAGGGACTAGTTAGTTCCTTTAACTGAAAAGTCCAGGCTAGCTATAGGTATGGCTAGGTGCTGTTGCTCCCACGATTATGTTATGATGTGTCTCTCAGGCAGCTTTCTTTTTACTGTTCTATGTGTGAGCTTTATCCTTCGGTGGGCTTTCACTGTGAGATGACCCAACAGCTCTGGGTTTGCATCTGCTTAGAAATTCAAGTGGAGAAATCCAGGTCCTTAGTAGTTCTGGGAAAAGTCCCAGGGTTGATTCTCATAGGTCTTCATTGTGTCACAATGAAGTTGTGACGTTTTGAAAAAAACAATCAGGAGGAAGCACTACCTTGGTTGGCTGAGCCTGGGCCACATGCCTCCCCCTAGCACCTAGTGGGAGAAATGGTTTGGTGAAGGGAAGGAAACTACTGCCTTTTTCAGAAGTGCACGCTTCTCTCAACCCTGAGGTGGCCTCATCGTCTACTGCTGTGCTGGTCCGCGGCAGTTAGGACTGTATGCTACTGGAGAAAAACATGTTCTTTTCACACTGCTCCCTCAGTTACACCAGCGTGGAGTCCTAGAACCTACTCATAGCCAAAAAGTAGGTTCTTAGGTTCTTTGTTTTCCTCAAACTCCTATTTATCCTTCAAAGCCCAGCTCAAATTACTGCCTCAGTGAAACCTTTCTAAACCCTTTTCTTGTGGAATTAACCTGGAGATCTCATAACCCTTCATCTGATTATCGGCGTGCTAGAGTACAGGCTATTGTAACAAGCGCCACAGTGGCTCAAACAAGAAAAAGGCTTCTGTGTCTTACAGATATAACAGTCTGGGGGTAAGTGGAGAATGGTGGCCTCATGAGGTCATCGAGGGCCGCAGGGAGCTTCTAGCTTACTGTTTCACAAGTCTTTGGGGGAGTTATCCTCACTTGTGATAGTCAGTGCTGGTTCACACCATCACATTCTCAGGAAGGCAGTGCAGGGCAAGCAAGACCTTTTGACAAAAAAATATTTGCCTGGACCTCCCTGGTGACACAGCGGTTGAGCGCTGGGTTGCGAAGCTGCCCGCAGCCTCTGCAGCACCGGTTTGATCCCCGGCTGCTCCCCGGCCACCGGAGGAGGGTCCCACATGGTGCGCAGACCTCTCCTGCCGCCCGCTGCTCCCCTCAGCAGTGTACTTCGGTCCTTCTGCCTGCTCTGCTCCCCGCTCTGGCTCTGGTGAATTCTCTCACCCTCCTGCGCTTCTGACTGTACCCAGAGCTTGTATAAATAAATAAAAATAAATCTTTAAAATATATATATATATATTTGCCATTTCATAGGGAAGTCAAGCATAGGCATTCCCTGCGACCCAGAAAAGCCATGCCTGCAATATCCCCAACGGAATAAGCCTTTTATCCTGCAAAGGGCACGTAGAGGAGCATTCACAGCAAAGGAGCCAGACATGAAAAGTCACCTCTCGCACAAGTCTTTCTATATCAAGTGTCCAGAATAGGCAGTTCCCTTGAGTCAGAAAGGAGATGAGTGGCCTCCTGGGGCTCGAAGGGTTTTATTCTTTGATTTGAGTGTTGGTTACAGGAAAGTGTAAATATGTAAAAAAGCCTTAATTTTAAAAAGAGCTCTTTTAAATTGACCTGGAGGTTGTGCACATGCCTTCACATACTTACATCTAGCTGCAAGGGAGCCTGGAAATAAGATCTTGAAGCCAGTAAATGGGGAGGGGGGATGGGGAGGTGATGACTCTTGACTGCCATGTGCTGTCATTGTCATGTTCTCTTGTTAGTATTATTCACCCTCTCTGAGGATCCTGCTTAGCATCTCAGACTCAGTGCATGATTATTAAGTCTGAGTATTTTGGGTTGGGGCCCGCCTCTGGGGTTACTGTTAAGGAACATGGCCTCACTCTCTTTCTTTCTAGGCTCTACTTAAATCTGGTCCTTGGCAATGTGAACGTGACACTTCTCAGCAATCAGGCCAAGTAAGTATCCCAGCCCCACCTGGCTGACTAAGTCCAGCACTTTGCTCTGTCCAATCAGGAGAAAGGGACTCAGGCTAAAAGTTTTGCATAAATCAAATAATAGTTGGGGTTCTGGCTCTTGGCCTCTGCCACCCTCTTGCTCTGGAGGTAGAATACCTGAGGCAGGTTTCCTTCCATTGACGGCCTCAATATGTTGGGGGGATGGCACAGCCATTTTCCTGAGACAAATGGCCTCCACTCCACACCTTGTCACATTCTTTTCTCCTGAGAAATAGGCATTCCTGACCACCAAAGTCTATCCATTTGGAGGGGAATGGAACCGTGGTGTATCAGGCTGGGGGAAATGCTGTCTCTGTTCCCTGGCCGTCCCCACTCCGGCATGAAAGCTGAAACCAGGAGTCCCAGGACATAGGAAGCTTGACTCTTTGGCCCTCTTTCCTGGGTTGATCGTCACCAGCCACTCCAGATCTCTCCTCGGTCGGAAAGGCGGGTCCTGGTGTGGCGTGAGGGGGACATAGGTCAGGGATCTGTGGGCTGAGGGTCCCAGCCAGGACAGGATATGGCTGTCTGGCTTGAGGAGCAGCTACGCAACCCTTCCTGGGGCATGTTATTACAGATTTGCCTACAAGGACGAGTATGAGAAGTTCAAGCTCTACCTGACCATCATCCTGCTCCTGGGTGCTGTGGCCTGTCGGTTCGTCCTTCACTACAGGTAGCTGGGACTGTGGTGGTGGTGGTGGGCATGGGGGTGAGCAGGGGTTCCTGAGAGAAGGGTCCAGAGTCTCTCTTGCATCTGTCGTGTTTAGTGTGATAGGTGTAGGGAGAGAGGGGCCATTTCTCATGGAAAATAGCAGTGACCCTCCACCTGTCCAACAAGTGTCTACCCGATGCTGCTGGAGAAACCGTACGGTCCTCAAGAAAGAGCCTAATGTAGATTTGCACACAGTAGAATATTATTCAGTCACAAAAATGAACAAAATCCTGCAACTTGCTACTCCATGGATGAACCTTGAAAGCATGGTGCTGCGTGATTTTGTGAAGGCATTTGTGTGACATGTCCAGAACAGGCAAATCCAGAGACAGACTCCTCAGTGGTTGTCCAAGACTAGTGGGGAGGGGCGAGGGGGAGCGGCTGCTAATGGGTACGGACTTTCTTTGGAGTGATAAGAATGTTCCAGAATTAGGTAGTGGTGATGAATGCACACCTCGGTGAACATACTAAAAACCAGTGACTTGTATACTCTGAAGGGGTGAGTTTTATGGGACATGAATTATATCTCTGTTACAAAGAAGAGAGAAAGCAGGAAAGAAGAGAAGGGTGGAAAAAAAGAAAGGTGGATCATCGGCTGACTGGGCTGGATGCGTCCAGACTGGCTGGCTGTTTTGTGGGCAGGTTTCTTCTGGAACCTCATCTGGACATCTGTAAAAAGAGAGTGACACCAGTGCCTGCCTTGCTGCGGGGGCCCATGATGGTTGAGCGCGTGGGTGCTGTTGCTGAATGTGGAGGTGCAGTGGAGGTGCAGCCGGCACCCCTACTCCCAGCGCTGCCCTAGGCGCTCCTGCTGCAGCAGGATTAGCATGAGGCCGGGGCTGCAGCTGCCCGGCCCATGACTTCCATTTCTCCCTCTGGCCCCGAGTTTTCTGCCCCAGGGGAGGCAGCCAAGTACAGCGTGGGCCACGTGTCAAGAGTTTATTTCCTGGCAGGCACTTGGCTGGGAGTTCAGTTCCTGGTCTGGGCACTTGAGTGTCCAAACAAAGGGTCTTTTAGGCCCAGGGCCTGTGCCTGCCTGCTCACTCAAGCCTGGCCTGCTGCCCTGGAGGGCAAAGGCAGCACTGTCAGCAGTGCCTGCCCAGAGGCCCCTCGAGAGGGGTCAGAGATCTTGATGTGCAACCAGGTTCCCTTGTGGCAAGCTCCAGGGCTCTCAGAGCACAGCCCTGTGGTGGGGTATCTTTGGATTGATGACAAGTTTCCAGAATTAGATAGTGGTAATTGACACACAACTTGGCAGATATACTGAGAGCCCCTGAACTGTCCACTTTATAGGGATAGATATTATGGGCTGCGACTTACATGTCAGTTACAAAAAGAAAGAGGGGTGTCCTCATGTTCCTGCTTCCCCGGGGCCTGGGTGTATTGTTTCCGCACAGCCCTTTCTGGGTTCGTTTCTTGGGGCTGTTGTGACAAGGCACCACAAACTGGGACCTTAAGTCACAGAAATCAGTTCTGGAGCCAGAAGGCAGAAATCAAGGTATGGGCGGGGTGCACTTGCCTCTTGCAGCTTCTGGTGTGGCCAGTGGGCCTTGACTTAAAACTGTTTCATGTGAGCACATCTGTTCTCTGTGTGCCCGTGTCTCTGTGGCCTCTGAAGACTCCAGGCACTGCATTTAGGAACCCCGACACAGGATGCCTTCATCTTTTTTTTTAAAGATATATTTTACTTATTTATATATATAAGAGCTGGGGTGTAGGCCAGAGGTAAAGGGGCAGGGAGTGAGAGGACTCACCAGAGACAGAGTGGGGAGCAGAACAGGTAGATCCACTAAAATACACTGCTGAGGGGAGCAGTAGGAGGAAAGGAGGGGTCTGCTGCGCCATGTGGGTAGTTCCCTGGCCAGGGATCGAACTCGTGCTGCAGTGGCTGCCGATAGCTTCATAGTGCTGAGACTCAACCCTTGCACCACCAGGGCGGGTTGGCTTCATCTTAAGGATGGCTTCATCTTAATAATGACTAATAATGACTCACAAAGACCTGTTTCCAATTAAGGTCATATTCTGAGGTCCTGGATGGTTATGAATAGGCACGGGGCGGGTAGTGGGGGGCACGCTGCAGTTTACCTGCTATGGGCTAAAAATAGGACAGGTGGGGAGCAGCCCACTTGTCCCTGCCCCCATCCTGCTGTTACCCTTCAGGCAGATGACCCACCCTCGCCCTGCCTCAGTGTCTTCGCAGAATGCGACCACGGGAGGCAGTTCGCAGGTGGCTCTGGCACGCCGTCTGTCCGTGGTGTCTGGAATGGTGCCCGGCACGCAAGTGTCAGTGTTCACAGTTGTCGTTACCACTGACAGGTTGTGCTGACGCTGCGCAGGCGCAGAAAGAAGCCCCTCATGGTTTAGTGTCTCGGGCAGGCTCCGCTTTGCTTCCTCTTGCCCGCTTGGCATGTGTCCTGGCTAGATGTGGCTAGCCTCTGGGCCCAGCCCCGCTGCGCAGGGCTCGTGTGACCTTCAGTAGGGCCCTTGGCCTCTCTCTTTCTGTTTCTCACCTTCCCCGTGAGCCAGAGGATACCTGCCCCTCCCAGTACTGCCTGGTCTTTGGGAGGTTGGCGGGGGGGGGGGCAGCTGGAGAGGGTGAAGCCTCCGTCTGCCCCCTGTGTGCCACGCGCCCGGGCCGAGTTAGCATCGTCCTCTGTTGGGGTCCGGCTCTGAAGCAGGCAGGGAAGAGGTGGCTGGAGTGGAGCCTGGGCTGGAGGGACTTGGGTCTGGGTCTCATGCCGGCATTCACTGGCTGCGTGAACTTGGACAACTCTTCCCCTCGCCAGCCGGTTTCCTCTCCTGTAAAACGGGAAGTGGGGCTGTGTTAGTTTGGGTTCCCCCAGAAGACACCTGCCAAGACAAGCATCTGAGCACCAGGAGTTTATTGGGAGCTGCCCCCTGGCAGCACCGGCAGGAAGTGAGAAAGGAGGGTGTCCCATGGGTGCCTGGAGGGCCTGCCGCTGGAGAGCTGGGGGGCAGAGCAGAACACACACCTCAGTTCTCCACTGAGGGGCGAAGGGGTGGGGTGTCGGCGCCCTCACACGCCCGGCAGCAAGTCCGGCACAGCGTTCTGATGCCCAGACCCTGCGAGCACGCGGCTGTGTGCGGCAGGAGGCCTTGCAGGGGGTCACCCTGGACTATCCGTTGTAGGCCAGTGTCTTCACAAGAGTCCTCGCTGGAGGGAGGAGGGGGATCAGGGTCGAAGGTCGTGATGACAGGCAGAGGTCCGGAGGCTTGTGGGGCCAGGTGATGGGATGTAGGCGGCCTCTGGGAGCTGGGAAAGGCCAGGAAGTGGATTCTCTACTGCAGCTGCCATGGGGAGCACGGTCCAGCCCCCAGAACCGCAGGAGAGTGAGGGCGGTTGCTGCGAGCCTTGCGATGTGAGCCTCTTGTCACAGCAGCCCTGGGGAGCCCATACGGGTGCAGGTCAGATGGCGACCTCGAGCCATCTGACAGGTGTCCCAAAGGGCGCGGCCACAGAGCTTGATCTTTTCTCCTCTCTCCACTGAAAAGATATAGATAGAAGGGGCCAGTGGTCACTGTGACTCACTCTGGGCCTGTCTCCTGTCCGGAGAGGGCGCCGGTGGGCTTTGCGGTGACCTTCTGTGCCAGGAAACCGTCCCTGCAGGGAGTTGCCTGTTCCAGTTGAGAAGGCCCCTGATGTCCTCAGCGCCAAGCTTCTGGCGCTGTCACACTTTGGGGTCCTTTGTCACACTTTGGGGTCCGTCACGCTTCCAGAAGTGCAGCAGGGAACCCGTCCAGTCTCCCTGGCCGCAGGTGCTGTGCGCACCTGGTGTTCGAGTCACAGCAGTTGGCTGCAGGTGTATGTGTGCGCACACACACACACACACACACCCCCACACACACCCACTGTCTGTTGCAGGCTCTCTTCTAGCAGTCTTTCCCCAGAAAGGCTCAGGAGGCATCAGGCTCCCCATTTCACACAGAGCTGAGCCCGCCGCTCTCTGACAGGTCACACGTGTCCCTCTGATCCAGCCTGGCTGCCCCGGCCGCCCAGCTCCACGAGCTCTGCCCAGCCCTGGACGGTGGTCACCATGGAGGAGGCAGGGAGGCCTCCAGCTCATCTCAAAGGGACTCAGGCACTTCCTTTGTGCAGCACCGTTTACAGCTGGTTTAAGGGGACAGAGGGGCTGTACATCCTGGCCCTGTGAGAGTTGAAAAAGAATATTAGCTTTCCTGCTTCAAGTCTCCCTGCTGCCACCCCACCAGAATGTCACTCCGCCAGCAAGGAGTTAAAGGGAGGAAGGGCCTCTGGGGCTCAGTGGTCAGGAAAGGAAGGGAAACCTCAGTTGGGCAGGTAGGAGTCAGGTGGAAAGGTGAGGAGAGGGATCGGGCATCTGGGGGAGCTCCCTCTACCTTCCTCTGGGATGTGGGGCATCCGGAGGCGTGCCTGCTGTCGGGGGGTCCTCATGCTGGTCTGTGTCTCTGATGGGGACGGGAAGACCTCCGCCACGGCCCTCACGCCTGTTCCCTCCCCGCAGGGTGACCGATGAGGTCTTTAACTTCCTGCTGGTGTGGTACTACTGCACCCTGACAATCCGGGAGAGCATTCTCATCAGCAATGGCTCCAGGTAATGGGGGGCTGGCTTTGTGGGGGGTGTCCGGGGAGCCAGAGGGAAGTCTGTCATGAAGGGGAGGCCTGTGTCAGGGCGTCACCCTCAGCCTGCATTCCCTTCTCCTTGGGGCGGGGCCTGAGGGAGGAAAGTCGAGTCCCTTCCCTGTGTGGGTACTTGATGGTCTGTGGAGCAGCCTTTGGATGACAAAGAAGGGGCTGAACACAACAGGAAGCTTCCCTTCCCGTATCATGGAATAATCCATTGGGGATGACTTCAGGTAAGGCTTCGCCCAGGCGCTCAGGCGGTGTTGCCAGGACCTCGTTTCTCCCCCTCTCTCACCTCTGCCTTCCTACGCGTGTCCTTGTTCTCAGGCGCCAGGCAGGGCGCCCAACATGCCAGGCTTGCATCTTGATTTCTAGCCTCCCCAGCACTATCAGGCACTCTCCTCTCCTCTGAGAATCTCCCTGCGCCCGGTGGTGCTTGTTGGATCACATGCCCATCTCTGATCCAGTCACTGGCGGAGAATGCGCTGCTGGCCAGGCGTGCGCTGTGCGTGCTGCGCGCCCACCACAGACAGCTATCGCCAGAAGCTGCGTGGCAGGAGGGGTTTTTCTCCCAGAAGGAGACGTAGCTTCTTATGACGAGGGGCTGGTCCCCTGCAGGGAGATGGTGAGGAGGGTGGCCAGGGTCCTGTCCAGGCCTGCCTGTCACAGCTGTGCTGGAGGAGGGACCCAGCTGGGAGCCCAGATTCCTGGGTCCTGCTCCCTGCGCTGTCGCTGAGCAGCCACAGGCCCGTGGGCGTGTTGTGTGCCCTCTTTGGGCTGTCAGAGTCCCCCAGGGAATTGTGTTCCAGTGTTGCTGGGTTAATCTAGGCATGATTAGGGGGTCCCCTTGATCCCCCATGTCTAGGGAGCCCCACTACTTTCACCCTCTGCCCTGCCTGTCCCTAAGCTAAGAGTCTCGGGACCCAGTTGGCATTCATGACTTGCCACCTGGGGGACCTGTTTCCCAAAGGGCCAGTTCTGGTTGGGGTGAACCTCTATGCACCTTGTCCCTGTTCTTTCCTGAAACAAAAAGTAGCCACCTCCCGAACCCTCCAAGGGGTTAGCATGGACCGACCACAAGCTGCATTTTAAAGATTGGGGGCTGCCTGCCAAGTCTCCAAATAATTTGCCACCTTCTCACTTCTCTGCCTAGTGGTGTCTTCTGGCGGATCCCTGCCCGCAGGGCTGGCCCTGAGTGTAGGGCCAAGTGGTAGGGACCAGGGGCCAGCGATTCGCAGGGACATAGCCCCGTAGCTAGTAGCCTGTTGGGAAAAATCAGTGTTTCTCAAACTGCCTCATCCTGGCCCAACCGCTCCATTTCCCGTGTAGCCACTGTCGCCCACACCTTTAAAAAAACCTTAGGTAGTTATTTAAAAGGAAATTGTATTTCACCACCTTACATGGAAAACGAGCATCAATTGCAGGAAAGAGGAAGTCGTGTAAAAATATCTTTTTGTTTTTCATTGTGTCATTTACTGAAGTCCATTATTCTCGCTTCCTGGAGGCCGGGAGCCCGCGGCTGGTCTCCCCGCACCTATGTGGCAGGGGATGAGCACACGTCCACGCCGCGCTCTCCTTGACTTCATCAGGAGAGTGGAAAGAGACCTTTCACCATGAGATTCCGTATCGTCCCGTGTCGTGCTCAGGTGGCATCCACAGCTTGGGTGACACACCCTGTGCTCTGGGGCGCACTGGAGTAGAAATCTTACCAAATAAGCAGCTGTCATCGTTTTCCTTAATTTTAGTGAATAATATCCCTCTGCTTTTGGGTGTGGTTGGAGGGGAGCCAGGCCCCCAGGAGGGCTTTCTGGTACCTGATTGGGCTTGCTGTCCGTCCGGCAGGTTCCCCCTTCTGAGGGGCTGGTCCCCTGCAGGGCACACTCTGTTCGTGGCAGTCACTAATACTTCCGTAAGAATTTCAGTGGTCAGCTCTTTTCCTAGTATGGCAAACTGCCCGGGGAGAGGAGGGCATTCCTCAGATGCTCCCAGGGAGAAGAGAGGGGAGTGAGTGAGGTCCCTGCAAGCATGGCGCACACCAGGAAGAGGGGGACTCAGGGACAAAGTGGAACTTCAAAGCCAGGCCTCCCTTGCCTCATACTTGAGCGGGGGCTTTTCTGGGGTCTCCCTGGAGCTCATGCTGTGACGGATGGACTGATGGCAGGAAGGGCTGCCCCCAGCTTGCACTGCAGAGCTTTACACGTGGGTCCCCTCTGCCCCGCTCTGTCATCTCCCGCCCCCCCCCCCACCTGTCCTTGAGCATCTCCCAGGGACTAGACGCCCGAACTAGGGGGCTCCACACACTATGAGCTCCCTCTTGGGGGCACTTGTTTTTAAAAGACCCATTTGTGGCAAGAGTGGTTCAGGAATCTCAGGTTCTAATGGCGCCCTTCCTCCAGGCTTGTCTCCCCACTTTGCCTGGGGCAGGAGGGTCAGATGGGGTGGGGGAGTCTGTGCCAGTGCCTCGTCTTCTGCAGTGGCTCTGGCAGGTGGGCGAATCTGGTGCTTCCGCCCCAACACCTTTTGGCTATTTAGCCCTGAACCCTCACAGCTGTCAGAGCTCATCTCTCCTGGGCCAGTGAGGGAGATGCTTCCTGGTTGTCCCCTCACCCTGGGTCACCCTGCCTCGCAGCGGAGAGAGCACTGGGGGGAGGGAGGGGCGGAGTCTGGATTGGATGAACTCTACCTTCCTCATCATCTCGGAAGCACCCCAGTGCACCCCAGCCCAGCTCAGGAGCTGGGGTTGGGAGCCAGTAAACACCCCACTGTGTGTAGAAATGGCTCAGACCCAAGCTCTGCAAGGAGGACGGTCCTGGGGCCAGACAGCCGTCTTGAGACGAGAGCATAGCCCCCAGGCTTCTTGGAGGCCTGGGCCCTGTTTAGGCCAGCTGAGCCTCTCTTTCCTGGTCCTGGTTGCTCCTGAGACCTGAATTAGGGGCGGATCGGGAAGCGGGTGCCCCACGATTCCCACGTGAGATGTAGCTCGGTTGCTAGTGCAGTAAAGCAGATCTGCTTCCCTGGCACAGTTTGCAAATGAGGGAAAACCACTCATTGGAGTAAACAGGACATTTGTGGAGGGTGCGATTTATGAAGGGGTATAAATAGTTCAAGGTGAAAAGAGCTCAACCCTCATCCTGACCCCTCCTGTGCTGGCTGCCAGCAGCTGCCCGGCTACCTCCTGGACCAATCCCAGGGCAGAGAGCTCCTTTCCTCCACAGCCCGGTCTCGAGACAGACCCTGATTGGCCAGGCCCAAGTCATGCTCAGCCCTGAGCCTGTAACTGTGACGGGGGTGGGGGCCAGACCTGTTGGGCTGACTGGGTCACACGCCCACCTGTATTACTCACCTGCACCCCAACCACCCAGACTGGGGTTGAGGTAGTTCTCAGAATCTTAGTGCTGGAACCAGAATTGGGGAGGGAGGTTGATGGACAGGCAGGCCAAAGAGCGACACCCCTCCAGGAGCCCCGGCAGGGATGCACAGTGATGGAGAGCTTGCTGGCTCTTCCGGTGAGCCGGCCCCAGGCCTCTGGCTTTCACCGGTCGGGGATCTTTCTGGGGACTCGCAGGGGGAAGACTGGCAGGCAAAGCAGGGGCCTCTGCGCAGGAGTCATTCCTGCCTCTCAGGTGACCCGGTGGAATCGTAGCTGGGGCACAGGCAGAGAGGTTAAGGTGTCCCGGAGGAGGGCACGGACTCCCCAGGCATGGTCCCCAGATGCCAGGACATGCTGCTCCCATCCTGGCCATGCCTGTGCGCTTCCTGGGGCATCTGCCTTCTGTTCCTCGCAAGCCCCACGGGCTCACCTCTGTGGCTGGAGCGGCCCAGAGTGCCCAGTGCTACCGTGTGTGGGTTCCTTTCCGGGTGCAAAACACGTCCTCAAACTGATGTGGCCACAGTCACCGGCTCCATGAAGAGCTGGGAAGCACTGGCTCGGACACTTCAAATGGGTGACCTGCCTGGCGTCCGGATTATGTCACGACAAGGCTGTGCTGTCAACAGCGCTTGCAGAGCTGGCCCCGGGATGTGCAGGTGCAGGTGGAGCATTGAGCAGAGGACGCAGCTGGGGGAGCGGCTTCTGGCCTCCCGGGTGTCTGCCAGCTGGGCCTGGCGAGGCGCCAGGAGCCACAGAGCTGCCACTCACCGAGGCCTGTGGGGCCCCGGCCACTCCAGAGGGGCGTTCCTTGGGAGCTGTGAGGGGTGGGGCAGGAGTGTGGGGCTTGCCCGGATGAGGATTTGGGGTGGTCCCAGGAGATTTCTTGTTTGTTTCTCAAGCTGAAAGTCTGGAAATAAGACAACTGCCTTTTCTGTTAGAAAATTAGAGCTGGGTGGGGGGCGGTCCTCACAGACCGCGATGGGCAGGACAAGGACACCAGGAGAGGCCCTGGGAGCAAGAACAATGGGCATCTTACCTGTCCGCGTGCTCACGTGGCGCCTGCATGGAGTTCACGTCACCCCTGCTGGTGGTGTCCCAGACAGCCCCTCATTTCAGCCGGTATCAGAGCCCCCTGTGTATCTGGCGCATTAGAGCCAGGAATAAAGAGCCACATATAACCTTGCCCCCACCATGACCCCTGAGGCGCTCACAAGCCATTGCCCAGGCAGCTCACGTGTGTCTAGAACTGTTGGGGGACTGTAAAGAGAGGGGATGAGGGCACCCCCGCCCCCCATGAGGTCTGTGCTCCTGTCAAGACTTAGAAGCTCAGACCCACCTGGCAGGACAGGGCGATGCAGGCCTCGGCGACACCCCCGTTCTTACCCAGCAGGATGGCACGTGGCGCAGCTGAGGCTTCTGGAGTCCTCCCTGGCTGAGGGGTGTTGCCTTGGCCTGCATCATCCCCTGGAGGGTGACTTGGCAGATGATGCAAACATGTTTGACCCCACAGCCTAGTTCTGGGTGAAGAAACAGTGTCATCTCCTCAGGTCTCCCCCAAGCTTGTCCTGGCAGCGTGGAGGTGACGGTGACTGCTGAGGGACAGCCAGGGGCACGGTGGCAGAGCCTGTAACACCAGCCAGTGTCAGATCTGTGGATCCTGGCCTGGAGGCCAGACCAGAAGGCTGGGGACAGAGGACAGTCTTCATCACCAAGCCAGCCTGACACAGCTGCCCCTCCCCAGCCCGCCGCTGCTCAGGGATCCCCCTCGAGAGCCCAGTGCCCTGGACCGGCCCCCCACTGCCCTGTCCTCTCCTGAGAGGACAAAGGTGCACTGCCTCTCCCATGTAAATGCCTCGCCGCACACCCGGCGCCCCGTCCTCAGGAGGAAGGAGCCCGGCCTCTGGCACTCCTGGCAGAGCGAGTCGCTGCCACATTGTCCAGACACCTGAGCTCCAGGCAGCCCTGACACTGAGCAGGGGGTGCTGACACCAGGCTCCTTCCCTGCTGCGGGCGGAGGGGCGAGGCCGCCGTGCAGGCTCGAGTCTGAGTGTCTGGGGCGCAGGGCGCGTGGTGTCTGCTCTGAGCAGAGGTCACAGACACTCTGGTGAGCCAGACCGACACGCTCCCTGCTCTTCTGCAGTCGCCAGGCTGAGTGGGGAAGACACTTGTACTCAGGAAACAAGGGGGTGGAAAGTAGTAATTCCAGGTTGTGGTGCGGACACGGAGAAAAGGGAACAGGGCAGTGGGGACCACAAGGGCCTGTCCAGCTGCTTCAAATAAGGTGGTCAGGGAAGGCCTCTTAGGAGAGGTGATGGCTGGTCTGAAGGAAACTTGGATTTGGACCAGGAGCCAGGCAGGCCAAGGTCTTGGGGCAGAGGGGGCAGCAAGTGTGAAGGCTGTTGCTCTGCTTGGGCAGACTGAACCAGCCCTGACAGACTGGGCTTCAACAGCAGAAACGCGTTGTCTCGCTGTCTGGAGCCTGAGCTCCAGGTGCCCGCGGGCTGGGTTCTCCTGAGGCCCCTCCTCAACCCGCACACGCTGCCTGTGTCCCCTCCCGGCGCATGCACACTCCTGGTTTGGTCCCCACAGAAGGACACCAGCCCTCAGGGACCAGGGCCCCACCCTAGGACCTCAAGTAATTATGTGACTCTGACCCTTACCACCCCCTGACAGGCCCCATCTCCAAATACATTCACAGTGTAAGGTCTGGGGTTAGGGCTTCACTATGGGGGGGGGGCACAATTCAGTTCTTCACAGGCCCTGAGGTAGCTGCAGGCTTGGGAGGGTCCAGGAAGAGGCCTGGAGCTCAGGGGTGCGCTCTGGGAAGCAGGGCCACCCGGGTCTCCGCGCCGACCCGTGAGCGGTCTGTGCGTGACCCTGTGCTTCTATGGGATGGGGCGAAGGGCACGGTCACGGCTCGGGTCCATTTCTTATTCCAAGAAGCTGTTTCCGGGCGCGGAGCAGCCCCGCACGCCAGGCCGGGAGGCGAGGAGATGCCTGTGTTGGTCCCGCCTGAGCGCCTTGTCCTTCTCTGTTCTCTCCGAGAATTAAAGGCTGGTGGGTGTCTCACCACTACGTGTCCACGTTCCTATCTGGAGTGATGCTGACCTGGTGAGTGTCTCCTGTCTGCTGAGGCGGGGAGCAGGCAGTAGGGAGGGGACCCTGATGGGGGCCTCTGAGGACTCTACCTGGGCTGACTTGGGGACAGGTCGGGGGGATGTTTCTGGAAACTTCCTTCTACCTGCAGACTGGGGCAGAGCTGACGGGGACAAGCTGGGTGGAACCAGCACAGGGCATCAAAGGGACGGAGGTGACTGAGCCAGGGAGGGGAAACTGAGAAAAATGGCTTCAGAACAACTCCCAGGGACCCCCTGTTCTGACATAAAGCGAAGATGGAAATAACCTGGTCCCACGCCAAGGACCCTGGTGACAAAGCAGGACAGAAAGTGGGGCCCTGCCTCCCTGGTGGCTCAAAGAGTTAAGACGCAACCTATGGAGCTGTTCGCAGCCACCACAGCATGAGTTCCATCCCCGGCCAGGGAGCTGACCCACAAGGCGCAGCAGACCCCTCCTGTCTCGCCCGCTGCTCCCCTCAGCAGTGGATTTCAGTAGATCTGCCTGTTCTGCTCCCCGCTCTGTCTCTGGTGAATCCTCTCAGCCCCCATTGCTCTGGCTCATGTATGCATAAATAAATAAATCTTAAATTAAAGAAGTGGGGCCCTGGGTTTCTCTTGGTGGGGGCAGAGAAGGACCAGAGGAAGGTCTGACTTCACAGGCTTCCTCTCTGCTTTCCCCACCTTCTCCGCAGGCCGAATGGACTCATCTATCAGAAGTTCCGCAGTCAGTTTCTAGCGTTTTCGATTTTTCAGAGTGAGTGTCTCTTGCTGAGATTCGGGGGAAGGGACACAGCATCCTCTGCCTTGACTGGCGGATGCCACTGCTGCCCCTGGGGGTGTCTTGTGTGGGAGGGAGGCGAGACTGGGGGAGGAGGTCCAGACACCTCATCGACTCCCTCCTCCCCCTACCCGCAGTCCCAGGAGGCTGACCCAGCCCCTGCCCCGGAGCCCCAGTGCTGCTCACTCCAGGTGAGAGCCAGGACCCAGCAGTGTGGGGGACACTTGGTTGTCTTCACAACGGGACTTGGCTCTTTCTTAGTTAAGATCAGCTCTGGTTTTATGTGCGGTCCCAAGGGTCATGGGGGGCTTGGAGCTGTTAGGCACAGGGAGAGAGCTTGACTTTTCATGAAGTGTCTAGGTCTGTTCCCGTTGAATTTTGTGCTGTGTACACATAACCTATTAAAAAGCACGACTTAATTTTTACCTAGAACCCTGCTCACAAAACAGATCATAAAGCTGAGCATGAAAGTGACGTGTAATCCTACCCTTAGGCTGGCCGCTGCTAACAGGGAAGTCCTTTCAGATGTTTCTTAAATGCATTTATACATATTTGGAGCAGTCGGGATAACCTACAAGTATGGGGTTCCCTGGCACATCACTCCTCTTACAAACCTGTTATTTTTCTGCTTTAATAACTTGTCACTTTAAACAATTTTCTACATCAGCACACTGGATCCTACCTCCTTGTTTTTAGTAACGACGAAGGATGCTATTGGTGGAACTGGCTTTTGCTTGTCTTGGCATCGCACACAGCTCCCAGCGTGGTGCTGCCACTCCACCAAGCATCTACTGAGTGCCTACTGCATGCTTAGGAAAGCTCAGAAGTTTCTAGTCTAGTTGGGGCTTAGCTGGAATAATATGAACTTTTTTCTTGTATCCTGGGTGAGGGCGTGGGGGGGTGGGGGGGGTGGTATGCTGGGCCGAGGTGGGAAAGGCTGCACTCAGACTGCCCCCCTCTGGGCAGTGTGGGCACCGGCCCCAGCGCTGCCCAGTCCTCCGGGCTCTGAGCTGCTGTGCTCCGCCTGCAGGCTGTGTGCAGTTTCTGCAGTACTACTACCAGAGGGGCTGCCTGTACCGGCTGCGGGCCCTGGGCGAGAGGAATCACCTGGACCTCACAGTGGGTGAGTAGTGGGATCTGTGGTGGGGTGGAAGGTCAAGCCAGCCTCCCCCTGCTCCCCCAGACCATTCCCTTCACTCCCCACTGTGCCCTAAGACTGCCACAAGAGTGACCACACGCCAAAGCCAGGGCACTGGTCTCCACCCAAGCTGCTGCTTGTAATTCATCGTGGATTCTGTTTCAGCAACAAGGGGGAGGCGGGTGTGGGCCCGGCCCCCGGGGCTGGCTTCTTGCTACTCCCTCTTGTCTACTTTTTGTCTTTTATGATGCGCAGACGTCAGCCTCGAGTTGGTGGGGTGTGTGCGGTTGGTGTGTGGTGTCTGCACACAAGCGTCTGTGTGCAGATGCTTTTCTTTTCTTTTTTTTTTTAAAAGATTTATTTATTTATTTATACAAGCACTGGGTACAGTCAGACGCGTGGGAGGGTGAGAGAATTCAGAGCCAGAGTGGGGAACAGAACAGGCAGACCAACGAAATACACTGCTGAGGGGAGCAGCGGACATGGCAGGAGAGGTCTGTGTTCCATGTGGGACCCTCGCCAGGGGCCGGGGATCGAACCAGGGCTGCAGAGGCTGTGGGCAGCTTTGTAGCCCAGCGCTCAACTGCTGCGTCACCAGGGGAGGCCCTGTAGATGCTTTTCTTTTTCTTTCTTTTTTTTTTTTTTTTTGGTGGGACCCTCGCCAGTGGCCTGGGATCGAACTGGCGCTGCAGAGGGTGTGGGCAGCCTCGCAACCCAGCACTTAACTGCTGCGCCACCACGGGAGGCCCTGCAGATGCTTTTCTAACAGGAAAAATCAGAAAAGTTTGGACCATCTGACCTTTATTTTTTTTTTTAAGATTTATTTATTTATTTATACAAGCACTGGTTACAGTCAGAAGCGTGGGAGGGTGAGAGGATTCACCAGAGACAGAGCGGGGAACAGAACAGGCAGACTGACAAAATACACTGCTGAGGGGAGCAGCGGGCACAGCAGGGGAGGTCTGTGTGCCATGTGGGGCCCTTGCCGGGGACCGGGGATCGAACCAGCACTACAGAGGCTGTGGGCAGCTTCTCAGCCTAGCGCTCAACCGTTGCGCCACCAGGGGAGGCCCCCCATCTCACCTTTATTTATTTATTTATTTATTTATTTAAAGATTTATTTAGTTATACAAGCACTGGGTACAGTCAGAAACGCGGGAGGGTGAGAGAATTCACCAGAGCCAGAGCGGGGAGCAGAACAGGCAGAAGGACCGAAGTACACTGCTGAGGGGAGCAGCGGGCGGCAGGAGAGGTCTGCGCGCCATGTGGGACCCTCCTCCGGTGGCCGGGGAGCAGCCGAGGATCGAACCGGCGCCGCAGAGGCTGCGGGCAGCTTCGCAACCCAGAGCTCAACCGCTGCGCCACCGGGGAGGCCCCCCATCTGACCTTTAAATGGGATGGTCCACATCTAAAATCTCTAAACTTTCAGGGGAGAGCTTTTTAAATAAAACCCTGCTCTCTTGGGAGGTGGTGGTTTCCATCAAGCCACTCAGCAGACCAGCCCGCCTCCGGTCCGGCGTGATAGACGCCAGAGCCCACTGTAAGTCGCGAGTTAAAGAAATGATGACAAGCCTGGCCTGCAGTGGCCCTGAGCGCTGTCAGGCCCAGGTAGTTCCGGGACTTGAGGGCAGCCAGACCTGGTAATGGGGCCCGCACCGTCTCTGGGTGATCTCCACAGCATCCCCAGCTGTCCCCCACCCCTCATGTCTGTGGCTGGCCAGTCTTGGGGTGAGTGGCACGGCTGAGCAGTAGGTACTTTGGTGGGGCCTGGGGGGCAGCAGGAGCCCCTGTCACCCAGCCCCTCTGCTCCCTGCTCTCCACAGAAGGGTTCCAGTCCTGGATGTGGCGAGGCCTCACCTTCCTCCTCCCTTTCCTGTTCTGTGGCCACGTGAGTGCCCTGGAGTTCGTGTATACTCTTGCTCTGGGCTGATGCCTAGGAACGAGGGTTTTAAGGCCTCCCCCTCTTCACCAGCCATGCCCAAGCTAGGTTGGCCCTCTGGCCCAGGGGCGCCAGAGGTGGGAGCCAGAACGGGCCCTTTACACCAGTATCTCCCACCCAGGCCCCCCGACCTGCTGCGGCCTAGGGTGGCTTTGGGGGGGTCCGTGTGTCAGGGCATTTGGGGGCGGGGGGCGGTGCTTCTCCCTGTGCTGCCCCAGGTGGGTCTCAGGGAGTCGGGCGGGTGAGCAGCGCCTGCCTCTCCTCTGTCTGCAGTTCTGGCAGCTCTATAACGCCGTCACGTTGTTTGAGCTCTCCAGCCACGAGGAATGCCGAGAATGGCAGGTATGGGGGATGGGGGTAGGGGTGTGTGTGGGGGTCCTGGGGAAGACCAGGCTGGCTGAGGGAGAATCCTTTCCCTCGCACCTTGACCCTTCGTGGGGCCTGCTGCCCAGAACTCTCAGCCTAGGTGGTGGGAGAGAACTTGGGAGTCCAGGGAAGCCCTCAGTGGCGCAAGAATGCCAGGGAGGTTCACCCCATTGAATACTGTGGGGAGCTGAGAGAAGAGCCCCTCAGGACCCTGCCCTGGGGGCTCACACCTTCGACTGGTTGGCCCAGATCTCTCCTGCTCACTGCCAAACCCTGCAGAGTGTGGGGGCTGGGGCTGGGGTGGGGGGCTGGGGGTCTGAGGTCCCAGGGAGCTGGGCCTCCAGCTGGGGCAGCGGGTGGGAGTGAGCACAGCCTGACTCCTCCGCCCCGCCCCGGCCCCTCTCTGGTCGCCCACAGGTGTTCGTGCTGGCGCTCACCTTCCTCGTCCTCTTCCTTGGCAACTTCCTGACCACACTTAAAGTCGTGCACGCCAAGCTGCAGAAGAACAGAAGCAAGGCCAAGAAGCCATGAGCCCTGGGGCTCGTGCGCCCCTGGAGCCCTGGACTTTGAGACTGCAGGGGGGTTCCAGTTGGTGCCCTGGCTGCTGACGTCTGCCCCACAGTGCCAGTGGTCGCCTGCAGCAGCCACCTCAGGGGCCAGCACCGCGCTGGGAGCAGGGCCTTGCCCTGGTCTAGCGCCGACAAAAGGAATGTGACCCCAGCCTGTCCTCGAAGTATTAGCCCCAGCCGCCCTATTTATGACATATTTAATACCCGGCCTGCCTGCTGCCTGACCACCTGTGCCCCCCCCCCCCCCCGCCCCGCTGCTCTTGGCACAGCCCAGACTGGGTCCGTCTTCCTGGGGAGGGGCCTACAGCCTCAGGGAGCCCTTCTGTCCCACTCCTGTCATTTGAACCCTTCAGGTTGGGGTTCGGATGTGCCTCGCTGGGGTCGAGCTAACCTGACCTGCTACTTACTGAGTCCCAGGCGGGGCAGAGGCCTTCCGCGTCCTGTGGAGCCTCTCCCCTCTCCTGCTTCTGCAGTCAGGCCCCGGGCCCACGCCCTCCGCGGGGGTGTGAGTTCTCAGAGAACCACTGTCTGTCTGTGCCTTGTGCTCTTTGTGCTTCCTGGGGAAAGCGGACCCTGGTGAGGCCCAGGCTGCCGGGACCGCTCAGCGGGGCCGGCCCGGGGCCGGGTTTTCCGGGGGCTGCCGCCAGAGGGAGCCCTGCCTCTGCTCGGCCGGGCGTGGACGCAGACTGGGCTCGACCTTCCTGCCGCCCACCCCTCAGCTCCCCTCCCGCATTCTTGCAGTGAGGCCGCAGGGGCGGGACCTGGAGCCCCAGCGCAGGCTGCGGCCGCGGCACCCCTCCCCCTGCCCGCGCCGCGGAGGCTCTGGAATGTGGGGGCGAGCCTGGACAGGCGCCCTTCCAGGAGGGCCACTCCAGCCGGCAGGTGCTCCTGGTCGCCTGCGGGAGGTGAGGAGCCCGCAGCTTGCGGGGAGGCGCTGCCCTCCCCACCTGGACTCCGCTCCTGGCCCACGTTCCCGCACATCCGCTTTGAAGCTCCCAGCTGGCGTCCCCCTCGTGCTTTGACCCTTGAAGGGGATTAAAATCTTTTAACTGCATTGGAAAAACGAGGCCTCCCCAGTCCACTTAAGTCTCCGCATGGAAACCCAGGCCTGAATCACGAGCTCAGCCTGCGGGCGGCCCTGGGCTGCTGCCCACGTTCCCCGCCGGCGCCTTTACACCTGCCTTCCCCGAGCATCCCCCCCAGCCCTCCGGCGCCTGGGTTCGCCCGACACCGAGTTGGGGAACTTTCCTGTAAAGGATGGAAACATTGGACGTTTGCGGCCCGCTGGTCTCCGCTGCTCCGCCGGCGGCTGCAGGGAGACGCAGCCGCGAGCAGGCGAGTGGGCGAGCCTGTGTCCCGTGGACATTTTATTTACCGAAACGGGCAGCCGCGGACCTAACGTGGGTGGGGCAGGTGGACTTAAAAGTGTGTCCCTAGAACTTGAGAAGTGCATCTTTGGGGTCCCAGCACTGGGCCGGGGGCGGCGGGGGGCGGAGGCCGGAGCCACCTGAAACCACTCGGCTTAGGCGAGGCTTCCGCGCGCGGGACCAGCAGCCTCAGCCGCGGGGGCCTTCGGAGCCCCTGGCCGTTGGCTTATTAACAAGTGCCGGACCCAGGCCTCCGGGAGGCTTGGGGGGCCTGTAGCTGGGCGAGGGTGGTCTTGCTCCAGCACTCCCTCCACGGGACAGCACAAGCGGGGACTGAGGCACACGGGCTCGGTGTGCAGATGGGAAAGGGCACGTGCAGTCTGACCCCCAAGCTGGCTGTGGCAGCGGGCACTTCTCCGCGAGATGCCGTCAGTGGAGTTGCCGGTGAGCCCTCCGGCAGGGTCGCGTGGCTGCACGTAGACGGCCACGCTGAGGACCCCGCGAGTCCTCGGGCAGCGGAGGAGGGTGTGGGGCTGGTGCCGGTCCCCATGTCCAGGCTGGCGCCTGTGCTCTCCTGATAGTCCCCAGCCCCGAGTTCCTGGGGGAAGGAAGCAGGGACGGAGGATGCGGCTGTGCCTATCTCTGGGGTGCAGTGGCAGGAGCACTGCCCTTCCAAGGCGACCCACGGAGGAGACGGAGGGCTTCCCTGCATCCACGGTGTTGTGGACCTACTGGGTGTGAAGGGGGAGGCTGTGAAGAGAGCCTGGCTCCAGGGCAGAGGGGATGTGTCCAGCACCTCAGCCCCTACCACATGGGCCCCAGCTCCGAGTGAGCTTGGAGGTCAGTTCATTGTCAGAGCCCCAGCTGGGAAGAATTCCAGAATGTTCTGAGTAGCTACAGGCCCCAGACACCAGGCCATAGAGACACTCAACTTCCTGAGTTGGGGGTGAGGCTGCATCCTGGGGAGCAGCCGGGGCCCCCTGTCAGTCCCGAGTGAGGCCGGTGCCCCGCCCGCGGGAGTCAGAGCAGCAGGCACTGCCGTTGTTTGTGCCTCTGCGCTTTCTTCAGAGCGGTGAGGGCAACCTTGGCGGCCTTTTGGAAGACGTCCTCCACGTTCTCCCGGAACTTGGCAGAACATTCCAGGTAGCAGGCAGCTCGGATCTGCTCGCAGGTGCTCTGGCCCTGGATGGGGGGAGGGGCCGGCATTAGGTGATGAACCTGGAGCTTGGGGCGCCTCCTGACACCCTCCTGGATGTGGTGCTGGCTTGGGGAGCAGAGCCCTCTTCTCCATCCCGGGACCAGCCCCGGCCAACGGGAGCACAAGCACGTGCCACGTGCTGCCACAGGCCGCAGCTTCGGGGGTGAGGGGGGTGTCCTTCCTGACCCGCACCCACCCGCTCGCCTTCCCGGCCCCCAGCAGAGATGGGTGCCATGCCCAGAACTGGACAGGCTGCGTGTGCCGGCCTGTGGGCACAGGTGAAGGCCTGTGACCGAAAGGGCTCCCTACATGCCTCTTCCTCTTCTCAAAAGCACAGTGTAGGCAAATGGGCTTGCTGCTGGCATAGACCCATTCCTAAAACACATTTACCTTAACTTACGCTGATTTCCTTTTATTAAACTTTATTTATCTTCTCTGCGTTCCTTTTATTCTCCCATGCCTCGCCCAGAAAGCTGCAGTCTGGATTTGCCCTGACTCCGGGGGCGGGAAAGCTGCTTCCGCAGGAGAGCCCGCGCTCCGGCCGCCTGCGGTAGGTGGGTGGGGTGGCGAAGGGCCCAGGCTGGGGCCAGGGCACCTGGGGCGAGACCCCGGCTCCATTTCAGGTGAGCTGTGTGGCCCTGTGCAAGCTGCTTAGCCTCTCTGGGTCTCAGCCTCACTGGGTAAAATGGAGGATACCGGTAGGCCCTATAGTGCGAGTTGGGATTCAGGAGGTAAGTCCTGTGGGCACGCCAGAGAATGGCTGTCCTTAGTGTTGAAAAACATGCTTAGAAGCCGACTTGCTTCAGCTGCCCAAAGCTACTAAGGGACCTGATGCTGGGGCCAAAGCCCGAGGCGGTGCCAGGGCCCGGGCTGTGATGGGCCCACCTGTATGGAGGAGATGGGCTCCAGCTTGGCCGCCCGGAGCTTCCGCAGCTGCTCCTTGTCCTTCCTCAGATCAGTCTTACAGCCGATGAGCACCATGGGGGTCCCTCTGCAGAAGTGCGTGACCTCAGGGAACCACTGTGGAGTGGGGGAGTGAGCGTCAAGGCTGGGCAGACACCCCGACCCACCCCAAGGCAGGCAGACAGAAGGCTCACCTTGATGAGGACGTTGTCATAGCTGGTGGGGTTCATGACGTCATAGCAGATGATTACCAGGTGGGTGTTCTGGTAGGACAGGGGCCGCAGCCGGTCATAATCTTCCTGCCCTGAAACCGGAGAGCAGGTGGGGGTCAGGGAGACATCCCTTATCCACATGAGTCCCTCATCGGGGCTCAGATGGATGAGGGGTGGGAGTCCCCTGGGCAGCAACTCCAGGCCTCTGGCCTCCATTTCCTCCTCAGGAGGGAGCCAGAGCTGGGGGGCCCGGCGAAGCCACACAGAGCTTAGAGCTGGGCCTGCTTACAGGGCGGGTGCTGGGGCAGCTGCGAGCAATTACCTGGTGATGACTTCAGCCCCGGGTGCCTCACGTGCTCGTGCTGGGGCTGAAGGCGCAGGCGCTGAAGTGGACCTGGGGTTCAAGTCCCTCCCCTCCCAGGAGCTGCAGGCCAGTGGGGCCTGCCTAGCCTGCTGTTAGCTGTGGGGTCCCCAAGGTAGGTGGCCTCCAACTTTCTTAGTTCTGACAAATGCTGGGGGGCTGGGGTGGGGAGGGGCTGCTCGTGGCCTAGCTCTTCCCCAGCACCAGCTGAATCGGGACCCAAGGCTGGGCTGGAGCAAGAGTGGCTGTGCGGCTTGTCTTTAATATTGACCTTTTCAAACTTAGAGGAAGACAGCTGCGGGGTGCAGAGAACTCCCCTTTTCAGACTCGCCCGGTGTTCCCCGCTCGCCCCAGCTGTCTGGCGTAAACCCTTTCAGCTCCGGGGGAGGTGCTGGGCTGTGCGGCTTCCCGAGGACGGGGGCGGCTTGCCCGGCTGTCTGGCCCAGGAACCTCCCTGGCACGGCCCTCACCCCATCCGCAGGCCACGATCTGATTTTGCCAATTAGTGCCGGTCTTTCTCCTCCAGAGCAGGCCCGGCTGGGGTTTTTGAAAAACTCCTCCCAGAATGAGAACTGGGTGCCTTTGGGCCTCCTGAGTGACCCGTCAGCCACTTCTGCGGAAAGACAAGGTGACTTCCACCAACCACGAACAGGGGGGAGGCCCCACCCTCTCCCGCCGCGGGTGCCTGGCGGCACCAGCCTGCTCTCCAGTTCCTCCCTGCCTCTTGGGACAAGGGTCCTCAACACTGCGCACCCCCCACCACATGATGCCGGCCCTCCCCTGCTCCCCCTCACGCCTGAGACCCCAGTGGTGACCCCAGTGAGTACGACGGCTGGGGCTAGAGGCCTGTCATACTCGTGTTCAAGCAGAGATACCCCCTCCAACACTGAAGAAGAGATGAGGGGTGGCTGGTTCAGGGGACAGACCCACCTTGCTTTGCACAAAGCTGAGAAATCCTTGCAAGACCCGGGAAACTGGCCCAGCATGCCATTCCCCTCTCCTCGCCTTCCCACACCGCCCCAACTGTCCCCTCTCCTGACCCTTAGGTCCTTTTAGACCAGTGCTGTCCAGCAGGGAAGCTGCTGGACCCACAAGGCTATTTAAAATTCAGGTTCTCGGGCCTCCCCGGTGGCGCAGCGGTTGAGCGCTGGGTTGCGAAGCTGCCCGCAGCCCCTGCAGTGCCGGTTCGATCCCCGGCTGCTCCCCGGCCACCGGCGAGGGTCCCACATGGCGCAGACCTCTCCTGCCGCCCGCTGCTCCCCTCAGCAGTGTACTTCGGTCCTTCTGCCTGCTCTGCTCCCCGCTCTGGCTCTGGTGAATTCTCTCACCCTCCCGCGCTTCTGACTGTACCCAGTGCTTGTATAAATAAATAAATAAATCTTAAAAGAACAGGTAGATCTACTGAAATACACTGCTGAGGGGAGCAGCGGGGAGATAGGAGAGGTCTGCTGTGCTCTGTGGGTAGCTTCCTGGCTGGGAATCGAACTCAGGCAGTAGGGGTAACAGTGCTGAGACTTAACCCCTAGGCCACCAGGGAGGCCCCCATGCCTGCCCATTCTGAAGAACTGCTTACAGCCACACTGACATGCTCGCGGGAGCAACATACAGTCCCATTTACCTATAAAGAACCTGAGTTTTCAGAGGCCAAGTGCATCAGTGACCACCCCCCCAGCATAGCTCCCCCGAGCACTCAGCAGTGCTCCAGGCTGCTCTCAACTGTGCAAGACTAGGCTCTGGGCCCCTCGGATGTCATTTGTGGCTCAAGCCCGCAGGACATCTGTCCTCACTCTCTTGCAGAAGCTGGCGGGAGAGAACAAGTAGCCATAAAACGGGCCTACCGTGTCCCTGGGTCTTCTCTCTTGCCTGCGTGTCCTCATGGGTTTACACAAACCCCCCTCAGAGAGGCCTTCCTTACCTCTCGGCATCCATCCCCACCAGTCTGTCTCGAAACTGGCCCCTTGTGGCTTCTGTGACTGACATCCCTGCTGGGCTGAGGCAGTCACTGCTTCGTGACGGCGTCCCATTGACGGCGAGGGCCCAAGCGTCCGCTCCCAAGCACAGCTGAGGTGCGCTGAGCTGTGGGTTTAACGGCACGGATCTGCACTGCTTTTGGGAGCTGACAGGGCGGCAGAGAGCCCCAGAAGACACAGGGCCAGGATCCACCCCTCGGGGCCTCCACCCCGGCTGTTCCCTCCTCTAGAAGGCTCTTCCCTGGCTAGAGGCACCGCTCATGCCTTTCCTCGGGTGTCTGCCACGTGTCCCCTTCTCTGGGTGGCTCTCTCCTGTCGACACTGTCCCACGCCATGTGCCCTGAGCACAACACGTCCCAGAAAGGTTTGGAGACTGAACCAGGGAACGAGTGAGCAGAAGAGAGGGTTGTCTCTGCCCCCGAGCCTTCCACGCCCCCGGTGTTTGCAGGCAACTCACGCCCAGGCCTTGTCATTCAGGGAGGCGATGGAGGTGGGGGGCGTAGGTCTTCCTGTTCAAGGATCACATGGCGAGTGGGACCTTCCTCAAGGTCGCAGGCTGGCTGCTCGTGAGCTGGGTGCCAGGTCCGTCCCCAGCCCCAAGGTCAGCTGCCTGCCAGGCCACTACAGAAGTGCCAGTTCTCCCTGGAAGCCTTCCCAGGGGGAATTGAAACTCTGGACCTCAGTTTTCTCAACTGTGAAATGGATATGTGGGAAACAGATGGGTCTCGACGAGGATCACAAAAGTGGTTAATGCCAAGGGTTCGTGGCAAGTGCTTGCTCCCTGGCCGGCTGCCAGGCTCCGTTTACCAGCACTTGCGCATCAGTGCTATTCCAACCCACCCAGCCGGCTGTTGTTATCCCTGTTCTGCAGACGCTGACACGAAGCGAAGCGAAGCGAAGGCTACTCGCCCAAGGTCCCATAGCTAAGGGGATGCTTTGTAAATGAGAGAGAACCATCAGCAGGACAGTTGGGGTAGCTACCTCTCCATTCACCCCAGAGGGAACTACAAGCCCCAGCCCTTGCCAACACAGGCATTTCAACAGAGGGACACTGGGTGAGATGGGCAGCAGCCCAGACCCCTCCAGCACCTCCTCCAGGTTGCCTTCCTGGCTTGACTGTGCCTGGCCCAGCTTTCTCCAGGATTCCATGTGGGTGGGGCCCCAGCTGGTGGGTGATGCTTGTTGACCTCACGTCTCCTTGGGAAGGGTTAGTGCACTGGACGCCCACTCCCCTCTGGGTCAGGAGAGCCAGGCTGCCCTCAGACACATGTCCCGTGACCTTGGTGCCCTCCCTCCCCGGGCCTCAGTTTCCCTATCTGGAAAAGGGGGTGATAACCCTCACACAGGAAGTCTGCTGGGGAATGCCGGCCAGAGGCGAGGGACTGCTGCTAAGGCTACTGTTGAAGTAGAAGCTTCCAGAAAACAGGCGTGGCAAGGGGGCCTCTAACCCTGGGAATGCAAGCCCACACAATTTAGGGGGGGCTCCCAGACACAAGACTATCAACTGTCAAACTCCCCTTTACCCCCAGTGATGCCAAGGCATCCAGGGTCCAACTCTGGCCTCTGCAGATGGACTGAGAGATTAAAAAAAAAAGCCTTAGGGTTACGTGCGAAAGATTGCATTCTCCTCTAGTGAAGAAAATTCTGCCCCCCCCCCCCCGCACCCCAGCCCCCCGTCTTCCTGAGTTGATGGTGCTGTGGGCTGGGGCGGAAGTGAGGCTCACCAGAGGGTGTTTCCTTTGTAGGAAGGAGCTTTGCTTGGGCAGACCTCCTTCGGGGGCGCGGGTCTCCAAGGCCCAGGTTAGGACAGAGGGTACCGTGGGTTCAGAGGTCCCCAAATCACACACAGGGCAGGTGGGCACCAGGTCTGGCTGGGGTGCTGGCCATGGCGGGGTAAAGGCGTGACAAGGGGAAGCTGCCAGAAGAGGAACCCACTTCTCCGCCACTGGGCCCGCCCACCTGTGTTTCCTCCCCGGGGACCGGGAGCCCGACCCCAAACTGAGACTTCCCACTGCCCTGCAGCTTCGGCCCAAGCTCCAGGGCTGCCAGCCGCCCCCGCCTTCTCGTCCCTGGTTCCTTGTCCTGTTGTTACTACATCTGGCTGGGAAGGGGTCACCGCTTTCCACCTCCTGGGCACCTCCCTCCATCCCTACCGCCCGCTCCTGGGCCCCACCCTAAGGCCTAGAGAGGAGTTTCTAGTTAGTTGGTGTCTTAACACCCCGCAGTGCCCCCCTCCAGGAATCTTCAGACTTCACCGCAGCTTCCTGCCCTGAGGGCGGCAGTGCAGTCACACCCCCCTTCACCTCACATCCAGCCTCCCCCAGCCCCTGTGTCCACACCCTCCCCTGGTGTGTAGCTGCTTCCGGGGGGATGGAGAGGGGCCAGACGGCCAGACAGACGGCCAGACAGACGGCCAGACGGAGACCGCCAGAACGCCAGACGGCCTCAGACGGCCACGGACAGACGGCCAGACGGCCTCAGACGGCCTCCCCTGTGGGTCCCTGGGCGCAGGGGCTGGGCGTGGAGAAATTCAGCTCCCAGGGGCTCCCCCATGCCACAGCCTGGGTTACCACGGGTTGGCTAGAAAGATGCCGGCCCCCCACCCTCCCCCACGGGGTCTATCTAGCTCATCAGAGTCTAGAACCTTCTAGATATGAGCTTTACTAGACTCATCTCCAAGCCGGTCCCTCCGTGACTCACCACCCCAGTCCGCGGCTTTCTCTGCCACGTTCTCCTGAGGCCTTCGCCCCGCAGGTGGAGTCGGATCCGACCTTTACCCCACCCGGCCGGCCGGCTGTGCCGTCATTCCTCCCGGGGGGAGAGACGGGAACGGAGAGGGCCGGCTGTCTGCCCCTCCTGCTTGGGGGCCAGGGGGTTTCCCGGGGACTCCCGGGGGAACAGCCATGTTTCTTCCTGCGCAGGGAACACGAGGCTCCTTCCCGCGGGCACCCGGCTCGGACTCCCAGGACCCGTGCGCCTCTTCTAATCCTAGGGCCGCGCTCGCCCTGACTGCGGGTGGGGCAACCGAGGCCCCCCGGGGAGCCAGCCGCGGGGCTCCGCCGGACTCCAAAGCGGGGGTGAGCGGATGGAGCGGTGGCCAGATCCCGAGGCCTCGGGCTCCTCGGCGCCGCCCCTCCTGGGCAGCTCCTCGCGGCAGGTGGAAGGAGCCTCCATGCCGCGGTGTCCCTGACGCCTCTGCATCCTCATGGCATCTTTCCCTGGGCGGGGCGCAGGTCTGAGCTGCCCTGAGCAGTGACCCGGGATCAGATGGGAGAGGCCCCAAGAGAGAGTGGAAACGCCCCTCCGACTCTTGCCCCAGGGACACCCCACCCACAGTGGGGTTAATGCCCCTGTCCCTGCCTGGCCCCTGGACGGGAAACGTGAAACCAAAAGTGTCCAAGACATGAGACCTTCACTGCTCCGCGCCACGCCCCTGGGGATTCCTCAGAAGCCTTTGGACTTCCCAGTCCACCTGCCGGAGGCATCATGGTGATGGGGGGCAGCCTGGCAGGACCCTCATCCAAAAAGAGTGGGGGGCCTCCCCGGTGGCACAAGGGTTGAACTCCGCGCTGTGAAGCTGCCCGTAGCCTCTGCAGTGTGGGTTCAATCCCGGCCGGCCGGCGAGAATCCCACATGGCGCAGCAGACCTCTCTCCTGTCTCGCCCGCTGCTCCCCTCGGCAGTGTATTTCATCAGTCTGCCTGTTCTGCTCCCTGCTCTGCCTCTGGCGAATCCTCTCATCCTCCCGCGCCTCTGGCCTTTACCCTGGTTCTTGTATAAATAAATCAATCTTAAAAAAAAAAAAAGACTGGGGGTGCCCTAGAGGCCACTGAGGGGAGACACCCACACAGCAAAGCCTGCGGAAGCTAGAAGGGAGGCGGGTGGGGCTGGGGCAGGGCCTTTTCTCATCCTCTCAGGGTGGGACACGAGATGCCACCTGCAGACTGGGGGGCTGAGGGTGTCCAGGTTTGGGGTCCATCCAAGGCTCGCTAAGACATCCCCCCACACAGTCAGGGCTTGGCTGGCAGGGGAAGGGGCGCCTGATTACGGTTCCACGCAGGTCACTTGACTGAGTCACAGAGGCAGGGCGAGGCCCTTAGCTGGGATCCTGACCTTGGCTCCCCAACGTTGATTTGCTCCCCAGAGGGGTACCAGGGCAGGATGGAAGCTCTCCAGAGCAGGGCCTTTCCCCAAATCCAGTGTGACTCAAATCTTCCCACTGGCTGTACACTCCCGCCTACCCCAAGAGGGGCTCTGGGGCTGGATGGGCAGCGTAAATCCACCTGCACTGGGAGTGGCGGGTGGCGGAGACCATCTGACTGGACACACATCCCTCAAGGTCTGTTCCTTCCCCAGGTCCGAGTTTCTCCCACGGGAGCCAGGAAGGCAGAGGACTGTAGCCACAGAGCCCGGTGTCGCAGCCACAGCTCGGAACTCTGACCACGCACTGGAGCTCCTAGAATCCCCTAAGTGTGGGCTCAAACACTTGCCCAGATCCCTGGGGCCTTGCAAGGGTGCCCCTGGGGTCCATACTCCCCTGGCCACAGAACTGGGGATTCACAGCTCTGATCTGAAGGACTCTGCGCTGCAGCCCACAGAACCCTCACCCCAGAGGACTCCAGTTGCAGCCCACAGCAGCTTAAGAGGCCACGCAGGTAATGCGAAATGCGTAACCAAGAGAGGTGGCAGAGAAGCCCACGGTTCTCTAGAAGCGCAGGCTAGGGACCAAATGGGGAGCTTCCGGGCGTCAGCTGTGGGGGGGGGGGGTGGCCCAGGAGCTCACCTCCAAGCCCCTCCTCCCTTTTTTTCTTTACACATGAGGCAACTGAGGCCTCCAGGGCCGCCCAGGCAGGTGGTCAGTTGGACCCCGGCCAGCACCCTGAGGCCTCCGGGAATGATGGGGTGTCAGTGCCTGGCAGAGGCTGGCGGCAAAGAATGCCCGGGAGGGGGGAGCCCCGCGCGGACGGGGGACCCTCGGCACCGAGCGCACTCACCTGCCGTGTCGTAGAGGTTCAGGGTCACCTCCTTGCTGCCCACCATCACGTGGGCCGTGAACTTCTCGAACACCGTCGGGGCGTAGCGCTGCGGGCGGGTGGGGCTGGTTCTAGAGGGGTGTGGCGGGTGCGGCTGGACACACACCACCCGGCCCCTCTCAGCTCAGCCCCCGCCCCACCCCGCACCCTCCTGGCCTCTGAATTCCCGCGGGGGCGCGGGGACCCTCCCCGCGCAGGACGCGGGGCCGCGGGCCTGGACGCCGGCGCGGGGTGGTCCCGGCTCCGCGACCCCAGCCCCGCCCGCCGCCGCCGGCGCACCTCGGGGAAGGAGCCCTGGCTGTAGACCATGAGCAGCGAGGTCTTGCCGCAGCCGCCGTCCCCCACGATCACGATCTTCAGCTCCGGCCTGGGCTGGCTCCGGCCCGGCGCGGCGGAGGGGCGCGGAACCCCGGCGGCGTCCATGGCCGGAGCGCGCACTGGCGGCCGCGCGGGAGCGGGCGCCGCGCCGGGACCGCGGGGCGGGGCGGGCCGGGGGCGGCGCCAGGAGGACCCGCCCCGCGCGCCGCCGCCGCCAGGCAGCCGCCCGGCCCGCTCCCCGCCGCGGCCGCTCCCGGGCTGGAGGCCGGGGCGGGGCGTCCACCTCCCGCTCCCGGCGCAGGTGAGGCGGGAGAGACGGGGCGCTCAGCTGCACGCGCAGCCCCGCCCGAACCCCGCGCGGGGCGCCCCCCCAGCCGCGATGGTCCCCGCCCGCCCGCCGCGGACCCTGGTCGCAGGCCCCGCCCCGCAGGGACTCCGCTGGGCGGACCGCGCACCCCCGGCGGGCTCCCCGGAGCGGCGACCGCCCCGGCACCGGGGCACTGACGTCGCGGGCCCAGCGCTGCCGCCCGGCCCAGGTCCTCCGCGGAGACCTGGCGACGCCAGGGAGGACGCGGGCGCGGGGGCGCCTGCCCGCCCGGCTTCGCCCCCCAGGCTCCGGCGCGGGGGCGGGGCGGGGGCTGGCGCCCCGCGATCTCCCGGCTCCCCAGGGCCGCAAGGTGGGCGTCTGGCGCCCTCTGCCGGGAGCTCGCCCGGCACGAAGGGCTTGGGGCGCCGGTGAGCCGGCCGGGGACACCCTTCCCGAGGGCCGGCCCTGGCCGCGGGGCGAGTCTGTCCAGCAGGCCCGAGGGGCGAGTCCAGCCGCGCGCCGTGGGGAAGGGCCGGGGAGCGGGGCACAGCGGAGATCGCCCGGCCCGTCTCCAGCCACGGCCCCTCCCACCCCGGGCGACCCCCCCTGCTCCCCCGACGCAAACTAGCCCCTTACGGAGCGCGCGCTGCGGCAGGAGCCGCGAGGAGCTGGCAGGGACCACCCCGCGCCGCCGGGGGGCCCGCGCCAGGCGGGAGTGCCCAGCCGGGCCTGGCACAGTAAGCGCAGGGGCGGCCAGCGGGGCGGGGGCTCTGCCCACCTGCTCGGAGAGGGGCCACAGGGCTCAGGACCGTCCCGACCCGCTCCACCCTTGCTCAGTGGTTCCCAATTGTCAAGTTCTCAGCAAAGCGCTCCGGTAAACTTGAGGTAACCGCCCCCCCCGCCCGCAGGTCCACAAATGCGGGTGCACGGCCGGCCCTGACCACCAGGGGGCAGCCGCGACCGCCGCGCAGCGCCCAGCCGGGAGGAGGCGTCAAGGCCGCGCTCCAGGCCCGGGTCCGAGCTGGAAGCCCTAACCTGTGGTGCAGCCCTCCAGGGACATCAGGTGGGTCAAGAACCCCCTAAAGAAATTTACAGCAACTCATCAGTTCCTTTTCAACACCAGTTTATTGAAAAGCAATTGTGTCCCTGCCGGCGAGGAAGCAGTCTAAAGGGGTTTGGGAGATGCTCACAATTCAGGGGCCAGAGCGGGTGAGGGGCTCAGGGAAGGCTGAGCGCTGCATGGCAGGTCAGTGGAAGCAGGAAGGGCCTGCCCTGGGCAAATGCATGGTGGGTAAATACCCCATCAGGTTCTGCCGTGGCTAGGGAGTGAAGGGAAGCCAGGCATTGTTGTCATAGTAAAAGGGTCCCATCATAGAAGGCCAGCCTGCCAGGGTCAGGGAGGGTGACAGAAGGCTCCTGAATAGGCTAAGGCTCCCAGCCTCTGCCAGACCTGGAGCTCTCTTTGGTGACCAGGGAGAACTGTGATTGGCTGGTGGGGCAGGGATGAGCCTGGGTGGTGACCTGAGATTGGCAAGAGGCGGGAACCAGGTTGAGAGCCCTGTGGGAGTGAGGTTCCTTGGGAACACAGCAGGAGGCCAGGCCAGCGATGGCTCCTGACCATCACTCAGGGAGAGGACGAGGGAGGGTGGAAGAGGTCTTTGCCGGGAGGCCCACTCACATTTTCAGCCAGCCTGGGCTTCTCCCCTAGGGCTACATCAAGGAGGGACTGCAAAGATTTCACACAGGAGGCTCACCCCACTTGAGCAAACTGTCACCTGAATCTAGGTTAACCAGGTGAGCCTCCTGAAAATCCTCAGACGTCAGTGTCCGCTGTACCCACCTGAGATATGGGGCTATGATTTCAAATTAGGACAGAACAAATGACTTACACAAAACTGAGGAGAGGAGCAAGAGGAAAGGCATCTTCCTGGCCCTGCCTGCTTCCAGGCACAACAGCTGACTCGGCCTGAGACCAGCCACCCACCCACCACCCCCGCCTGGCTGGGAGGCTGGCAGGGCCCCAGCCCCACCCAGCCCCGAGTATGTTTCATTTGGATCTGACTCCAGTGGTGGTGCATCGGGCTGGACTTGCAGCTAAAAATACCCAGGAGCCAGGCCAGCTGCTCAGGGCTTCCTCAGAAGCAGCTGGGCCGGGCAGGCCAGAGGAGGAGCGCACGCCACGCGCCCGGGGAGTCTGCTCTTACCTGCCAGGCGTTCGGGACCCGCGTCATTCTCCTTTGTGTATCCAGGAATTCCTGGAGAGATTTGAGAGGACAAGAAAGATTCTTTAAGCTGCTTCTCGCTGCTGAGCTGCTGGGACACACCACCCTAAGGGAGCTGGCCAGGTGGTATTTGTGGGGTGAACTCATTTGTGCTCACAAGGAGGCCTGGGCCATGGTCAGGTCCGCTGAGCCTGAAGAGAAGCAGGAGTCTTCTCGGGGCACAGGTCGGGAGGGGGACGTGAGTGACGATGCTCACAGCTTCTACCTTCCCGTGGCTCCCCAGAACTTCCCAAGGGGTCATCATACACCTGAGCCCTCACCTACCCTGTGAGGCAGAAGAGACTGAGCCTCTGGAGACTAAGTTATTCTGAGATCCCAGAGACCAGAGGAGGCCAAGGCCTGGGGTGTCAAGGCTGCTGCTCCCACCCCCAGGCCTCAACATTTGTGTGTGGGGGGGGGAGTGGTGGTGAGGGGGGGCCTCACTGCTAGAGCATAAAAAGCTCTCCTTGCACTGTCTGACTCGGACAGCTTGGGAGCTTGGGAGGTTATCGGCTGGCTGCCCAGAGCCCAGGGCTCCTGAGGGGCGGGGCCGGCCAGTGGAGACAGCCAGGACCCTGCCAGCCTCTGAGATGGCGGGGCCCTCTCCACAGTCTCTACCCCGAGGGTCCAAAAGGTCATACTCCACGCTGAGGCCCGGGGTGGCTGGGCCGGAAGAGGCGGGGACCCTGGCACCCAGTAGTAAGCAGGTCCAGCCGCCCTTCCGCTGGCGTGGCTCTCTCCGGGCAGGCCTCACCACCGCCGGGAGCAGCCCCGCCCCGCTCCCTGGGTGACCGCTGGGCGGGCCCAGAGGAACAACCCCAGGACTGGAGGCTCCAGCCTCCACCCTGCCCGGGAGGTGGTGGGGGGAGGGGAAACAAAGAAAAGTCCAAAGCCGTGAAAGAGCAAAGGAGGCAGGGAGGGGTACCATCCTTCCAGATCCTTCCAGGTCATCCAGACACCTCTCCCGTCCAAGAATCACACCCAGACCACAGCTTAGCACCTAATTGCGCCCTAATTGGCTGGAGGAACTGGCTGTAGCACTTCAGGCCGCAGCTGGGAGGAGATGGCTGAAATCAATTATTTAACCCTCCCATGCCCAAAGCGGGTGAAGACCCCAGCCTGGAAAGCCCCAGGGCTCCACTCAAAGGGACCCAGGAACCCCTGAGGCGGTAGAAGCGTCCCCGGAGTAGAGTGGAGTTGGAGCGGGCTCATCCCTGGCTGAGCCGAATTAAAGCTCGGGTTCCGGGCAAATGTGGATGGAAGACATCGGCCACCTGCCTCTCCCCCACCCTCAGGCGCGGTAGGGGGGAGTCTGGCAGAGGTGTGGTGAGGGCAAACCCCACCAGCAGAGAAAGGGGCCAAACTCAGCCTATCCGGGACTGGAGGCCCTACCCTGGCCAAGGCCGGTGGCCAGGAGGAGCCGAGAGCACCGAGCTGGTAGCTCTGAGCGCTCCTGGTCAGGGATGCCAGCAGACAGCTGGCACTGGGAGGGAGCCCAAAATAACCCAGACAGCTGGGGTGAGGGGGGGTGCAGGACACAGGCTGGAAGTCGACACCTGGACCCCGGTGCTGGCTGCTTGCGGTGACCTTGGGTGAGTCACTTCGACTCTGGGGCAGGGGGAGAGGTGGCCCCAACTCGAGACCCTCCCCGCCGCGGAAGCCACCCTCGCGCTCCGGCCACACCGCTGGCGGCCGGCCATCTGCGAGCCAGGCTCCCCTTTGCCCGGAGGCTTTGCCACGTGCTTAGGAGGTGGGCTGTGGGGGAGGAGCCCCGCACCCGGCCCAGCCCCCACTCCCGCCGCCGGCGTCCCGCGGGCCAACGAGCGCGAGGCTGGCACGCGAGGCCGGCCCCCTGATCACACTTAATCCTCCCACCGCCCTCTCGGGCACGCATCCTCCTTATCATCCGCCAGAGCCCGTCGCCCAAGGTCACCGGCGAGCCCAGCCCTCAGCTGCCCGACCTAGAGCCGAGGTGCCCCCAACAGAACCCCTGGGCGTGCCCTATGGGCGCCCCCGCCACCCCAGCAGCCCACACGCAGAGCGGGGGGGGGCGAAAGAGGGCGGGCTCGCCCCACACGGAGGCCGAACCGCGGGGGCCGCGCCGTCGGTGGCACCTGGGCCCAAAATGGCTCATCAAAGTCCCCACGCGGCAGCGCACAGGGTCAGAGACCAAGGGCCGCGGCGCTTCCCGAGGACAAAGGAGCAGCGCGGCCCGCGCAGGGGACGGGGGAGCCGCCCCTCCCCAGAAGCCGAGCCCGGGCCGCAGCGCCCCAGGGGCCCGGAGCCCGCGTCCTCCGGGAGCTCGTCACACGTGCACCCCCTCGGGTCCCACCCAGGGAAGCAGAAAATCCAGAACAGGGCCGGCCTGAGTCCCCACGAGCCGCCCGGTGACTCGGCTCCAGGAGGAGCGCCGCTGAGGAGCCCGCGGGTCAGCGCGCGCCGGGCCCTGACTGGGCCCCCCCCGGGGGTGGGTGGCAGGGATCGTGGGAATTCCCAGGAAGGGGGGTGAGGCGTCTAAAAGAAACCCCCCTCTCGTGGAGGCTGACGCCGATCCCGGCCCTCCCGCCCCGGGGGAGCCGGCCTGGGCGCGGCGCGGCGCGGACAGTCACCCGCGCGCCCCCGCGGGCCCGGAAGGGAGGCCCGGGCGGGCTTCCTGGCAGCGGGCGCGCGGGAGGCGGCCAGGGCCCTCCCCCGGCCGCGGAGCGCGCAGCTGGGAGGCACTGGCGAGCGCGGCCGAGAGCTGCACGCCCAGGCGCCTGACCCCAGAAGCGGACGGGCGGGGAGGGACGGCCCCCGCAGGCCGCCATGTCACAGCCCCACGCGGCTGCGCGGGGGAGGGGCGGCAGGACCCGCTCGGCGGGTTTGGGGAGCCCGCCCTCCCCGGGCTCCGGGCCAGAGCCCCCCCAAATCGCTCTCCGAGCCTGGGAACGGGCGCTCACACCTACCTTGGCGGGAGGACTGTCACGCTAGGCCGGCTCTTCCGTCCGAACAAGGGCTGTTCGCTCTGGGGCGCCAGGCCCGCTGCCCCCTTTCCAGCCGAGCCTGGGGGAGAGCCGGACAGCTTGTTAGGGTTTTGACGGCCACTGGCAGGACAGGGGCGCCCTGACAGAAGGGGCGGGAGTCTTTCCAACGCTGCCCCCCGCACCCCCCGCCCCGGGACGGGGAGGGGGAGGGGCGGGTCGCGGGGGTTCAGGCCGGGGCGCCGCGGCGGCTCATCTGCATTTCCAAGGGCCCGCCCCGCCGCTCCCTCCCCCAGGAAGGGCCGGGGAACCGAGGGCAAGCCCCGGAGCCAGCCCCCAGGGGGGATCCCGGGGAAGGCCCGCCCGGCTTTCCCAGCCCCAGCCCCCGCCTCAGCCTCTTGAGGGCCGGGTCACAGGCATGTGGCCGGGGCGGCCAAATCGGGGCGTCGGTGGCCTCCGCGCGGGCCCAGCGCTCTCCACTCCCTCTCCCCGCTGGCAAATGGCGGTTGGGGCTGACGCCTGGGCGCCGAGGCCGGTGGGCACCGGGAGGCCTGGGGTCGGGGCCCGGCCGCGGGGAGGGTGCTCCGGCCTCCGGGGGCGCGGGTCGGGGGCGGCTTCGAGGCTCCGCCCGGCCTCCTCGTGCCCGCGTGGGCCCCCGAGCGGGCGCGGGGTCCGAGGCAGCCGCGGAGCCCGCGCCCGTCGTCGAGGCCTCCCCCGGCCCGGGACGGCCACGCAGGCGGCGGCCTGGAAGGCGGCGCGCCCGGCCTCCCCTCCCCCCGGCCCGCCGCCTCCCTCCCTCCTTCCTTCCCTCCTCCCGCCTGGCGCGCGGCGGCCGCCACCGCCCGAGCCGCGGGCGGCGCGCGAAATGGCGCCGGTCTGGCCGCCTCGCTCGGCGCAGAGGCGCGCGAAGCCCCCGGGGTCCGGAGTCCCGAAACGGCCTCGGCAACCACCCCCCGGCCCGGAGCGCCGCGCCCCGCGGGCTCCCCGGCACCCCCGGGCCCGGCCGAGGGATCACCGGCTGCGGCGGGCCAGCGGGGAAGGAGGGAGGAAGGAAGGAAGAGGAGCGCGGCCGCCATTTGCCGCCCGCAGCCCAGCTCGCCCGGCCGCCCGCCAGCCCCGGCCCGGCCCGGCCCGGCCCGGCCCGCCCGGCCCGGCCGCGGCTCTGCTCTGAGCCTGAAAATAAAACTCGAGTGTGGGAGGGAGGAGCGAGCGCGGCCGGGAGCACAAGCTGCGCTCGGCTGCAGGCGGGAGAGATGCTGCGTCATGGTGCCAACATGGACGCCGGCCTTTTGTCCTTCTTGCTTGGGAAGCGCAGGCGCCCCCCCGGAGCCCCGAAAAACCGGCTTCGGGGCGCGGGATCCCCCACAACACAAAGGGAAAGAGGTTCTAGGTCGGATGGAGAGGTTTCCTCGTCTTTTGAGCCCCCCATCGGCAAAGCACTTCGATTGCCTCTTCCCCACCAAGGCTCAGACCTGGGACCAGCGAGGGAGACGAGCGCAGGCGACTCCGTGGGTGCCCGAAGTCGCGGGGGGACCCCTGTGCTCGCCTCCGGGGCAGAAGGGGCAAAGGGGTCTGAAGAGCCCTCCTCGTCCCCACCCCCCCTTCCTTCCCGATCCGGCTGCCAAACATAAAGCTCCAGAAACCTTCTCCCCTCAGCAACCAAACATCGCAGCCCTTGGCCTGCTTGAAAAGATTTCCTCGAAGGGACAAAAGGCACATTTTTTTCCTTTCTTTCTTCTTTTTTTTTTTTTTACTTACCCGCTCAGCCCGGTGCCATGGAGTCTGGAAGATCAAGCTGGGCGGAGGTTTTGGAGGTGTTATTGTAAAAAACGTCGTTTGAGGGGGATTGTTTAGTTGGGGGCATTTGGGGGAATGGTGGTGTCTTTGTTGTTGTTACCTTTTTGTAAGTTACACTCTCATGGCATTTTCTGCTCCTTCCACTTCTGCAAACTTTCCAGGGTTGGGTTGGCAAAAGGCGGCTTCGTTGAGGACTGTTTACTGCTCTGGATTTAGCAGTGATCGTCATTAAGAGACAAAAGGCGAAAATACACAGTCAAATCAAACAAAGGCAAAAGACGGACCGGCCATCCCAACCGCCATAGAAAATACCCCGAGTTAACGTCGGTGTTTGGCTCGAGCCAGCTAGGACTTGTTTTCCCGTTTTAATCTAGTTTCCTGTGACGGCTTTAGTCTCTTTACACAAAGAAAAGGTCTTCCTTTCTCTCACCCACCCCCTTAACCAAGACGAGAAAAACAGAGCTGTTTTTCTTCAAATAGATCGATTTTCAAAGAAAGTGGACATGTTACTGGGAGGAAAGCTGAGCAGCATTTACTGCTGTAAACATTTTCAAAAGCTTAAAGCTAAACACCTTAGCTTTCTAAAAGCAAAATCGCCTAAAAGCATTTTAACTGGCTTCTACTAGACAAAAGAGACAAAGACATACATGCAGATGAAGGTTCAGAAATTAAGGACATCTCAGCAACATTAACATGAAAAGTGCATTGCTAAGGACAGAATGGATTGGGTACTTACAATGTAAAAGGTTTAAAAAAAAAAAAAAAAGAGTAACAACTGCTTACAACATTTGTTGCTGCCATCTCGCTAGTCCTAAAGCTATACATTTAAAACATTACCTTGTTAAAAAAGAGAACAGAAGGAGTTAATAAGATGGCCAGGTTTAAGTGTTTAATAGAGGAAACGATATATATTTAAAAATTTATTGTTCAGTCAAGAGAATACAGATTAAGACAGCTCCAAGCTCCCCCCACCCACCCAAGAAAAAAAAAAAAGAGGAAAAAATTAAATATGTCATTTACTTAGGTTTTTTGGAATTCAAAATTGTTAACTGCTGACATGAATGGTGTGCTATGACCTAGTTATACAAGACAAAGATGGATTCCAAGTCATAAGGAAAAATCCAGATCTTTTTAAAAAAAGTCTTCTTCATTCTTCCAATTTTGAGTCCTTTAGCCTGTTGACAAGTGTTAAACACACTGAGGCGTCCTGAACTGGATGGTGGAGTCAAAGGAAAAACGTTCCCCATTTGCAACAAAGGAAAAACCCACTTGGCCATTTAATTCCATTGCAGAAAAATGGCTCCCCTCATCTGGTGGCCTCTCCTTGGTGTCTGATGAAGGATGTTTTGAGATCAGCGTCTAATAACTCAGGCCCTATAGAAGCCGCCCGCTGATTGGCTGCCGCGCGCTGCCGCCCTGCTCCAGCCAATTACCTCCCCACGGCCAAATTACAAACCCCGAAAAGAGCCCCAATATGAAACACACCGCCGCGGAGCCCCGGCGAGGCGGCTCTCTCGCCGCGGCCGCCCGGCAGGAGCGGCGGAGGGGGCCGCAGACGCGTCCTCGCGACGCCCGGGAGCCTCGGAGTTGAACTCACAAAATGGAAGCCGCGCGCTGATTGGCCGCCGGGCTCCCGGCCCTTTAATAAAGAAAGGGGAAGGAAAGGGAAATGCAAAAGAGGGGGACTCGCTCCTCCGCCGGCGGGGGGGCCGCGGGGAGCATGTGTTCCAGACAATTACCGGGCGCTCCTCGCCAAAAATAAAAACAGAGGGGCGCGTCTCCCACCCGGCCGGGGCCGCGTCCCCGGCGGGGTCATGCCGAGCCGGGCCGGGCCGGGCCGGGTCCCCCTCGGCGCCCCCCCGGGCGGGCGGCGCGGGCGAAAGAGGAAGCCGGGGCGCGGATACCTCGAGTGCAACTTGCCCGGAGCCGCCTCGCCCCCCGCCCGCCGGCTCCCGCGTCCCCGCACAGTCACACCCGCACGCCGCCCCCCGGCCCCGGCCCCGGCCCCGGCCCGGCCCGGCCCGGCCCGCGCCCAGCGCCTCCCGGCAGTTTGGAAACAGTTTCGGAGGCCGAGGCGCGCGGCCGCGCTCGCGGGGCGCCCGGCCGCGGGAGGTGGAGCGGGGCGCCCGCCGCCGCCCCCCACCCAGGTCCCCGCAGAATAAATAAATTAGGAGGCTCCCCCGGGAGGGGCCGGCGGGGCTCGGCCGGCGCCGGCGGCGCAGCTGCCGCGGAGCGCGCCGGGGGAGCGCGGGAGGCGGAGGAAGAGGCGGAGGGTGAGCGGCCGAGGCGGGGTATTGTGGGATGCGCGGCCGCGGGGCGCCGAGCCCGAGCCTCCGCCGCCCGCCGCCTCCCGGCCAGCAGCGGCAGCAGCGGCGGCAGCAGCAGCGGCGGCGGCGGCAGCTCCGGGCCCGGCAGCCGCGGCGGCGGCGCCCCCCCCTCCCGGCCCGCGGCCCGGCCGCCCCGGCCCCGGCCCCGGCCCCCGCGGGGCGCACCATGTACTGGCTGGCGGCGCGGGGAGGCCGGCGCCCGGCGGGGATGTAAGCGGCCGGGGAGGCCGCGCCGGCGGCGGGAGCCCGGGCGGGCGGGCGGGCGGCGGGCGGGCGGCGCCGGGCCTGCCGCGAGCCCCGCGCGGGCCGAGCAGCCGCGGGCGGGCGCCGGGCGGGCGCCGAGGGCCGGAGCCGCGTCCTCCGGCCCCGCCGCCCCGGCCCGGGCCCCGCCGCCGCCGCCGACAGCGGGCCGGGCGGGCGGGCGGCGGGCGGGCCGCGCTCCCGCCGGGGCCGATCCGGGGCGCCGGCCGCACAGCGCGGCTCGGGGCGCGCCGGGCGGGGGGCGGGGGGCCCCGCGTGTGCGGCCGCGCCCGGCCCGACGCCCCTCGCCGCTTGCAGGTCGGGGTAACGGCATGGAGAACAGCCACCCCCCCGCGCTCCAGCAGCCCCCGCCGCAGCCCGGGCCCGCGGGCGAGAGGAGGAACCACCACTGGAGAAGTTACAAGTTGATGATCGACCCGGCGCTCAAGAAGGGGCACCACAAGCTGTACCGCTACGATGGGCAGCACTTCAGCCTGGCGGTGAGTGGCCGCGGCCGGGGGTGCGGGCGGCCGGGGGGCCCCCGCCGCCCCAACTGTCACGGGCGCCGGCGCGGGGCCGCGGGGCCGGGGGAGCGGCCGCCCGACCCGCCCCGACCCGCCCCGACCCGCCCGCCCCCGCAGATGTCCAGCAACCGGCCGGTGGACATCGTGGAGGACCCCCGGGTCGTCGGGATCTGGACCAAGAACAAGGAGCTGGAGCTGTCGGTGCCCAAATTCAAGGTGGGCCCCTCCCCCCGCCCCGCGGGGTCCCCGCTCCCGAGTTCGAAAATAACGCCAGGCCCGGCCCGGCCCGGCCCGGCCCGACCCGCCTTCCCGCCGCCCGGGCCGGGGAAGTTGTGGCGGGGACGGGAGGCGGCGGCGGGGGGACCCCGCGGCCAGGCAGTGACCCCGGACGCTGCGCCCCCGGCGGGCGCCGACCCCGCGTCCTGCGCGCCCCGCGCCCTGCAGCGGGGCTCGGCGGGACGCGCCCCCTCGGCCCCAGGCCCGGCCGGGGGACCCCGCGGCCCCGGGGGTCGCGGCGGCCGGCCGGCGGCGGGGAGCGGCGGCCAGCACGGGGGCGGGGAAAGAGAAACTGTTTCTTTTCCCCTTTGCTTTCGAGCCCCGAGGACTTCCACGTTCCAAACGATTTAATCCTCCGCTTCCCGGGCCCGCCCGCGTGCATTTTTTCCCCCAATTTTTTATTTTTTTATTTTTCACCCTTCATTGTTGTCAGGGGCGGGCGCGGGAGGCCGCGTTTCCCCCCGGCTTCAGCGCCCTCCCGCTCCCCGCCCCCCTCGGCCCGGCCAGATCGATGAGTTCTACGTGGGCCCGGTGCCGCCGAAGCAGGTGACGTTCGCCAAGCTCAACGACAACATCCGCGAAAACTTCCTGAGGGACATGTGCAAGAAGTATGGCGAGGTGGAGGAGGTGGAGATCCTGTACAACCCCAAGACCAAGAAGCACCTGGGCATCGCCAAGGTGGTCTTTGCCACGGTCAGGGGCGCCAAGGAGGCGGTGCAGCACCTGCACAGCACTTCGGTCATGGGCAACATCATCCACGTGGAGCTGGACACCAAAGGTGAGTGGGGCCCCCTCGGCGGGGGAGCCCGGGCCGGACCTGTCAGCGTGGCCCTTTTCCTGCCTTTTGCCGTGCTGGGGATCCCCGGCTCTTCCTCCAGTGCCCCCTTACAATTTTTTTCCTTGCCCCCTCCAGAGGGTAGAGTCACGTGGAACTAAATGTGTTGTCTGTTGCTAGGAGACAAGCTATAATTTACCAAGTGTGCCAGTCCTTGGCCACTGCACCCCTAGGGGCCACCCGGAGGCCTCCCCACCACTGAAGCCCCCTCGGGCCCCTCTCCGAGCCCGGGTGTCCCGGGTGTAGACAGTCCCCGGCGTTGCCGGCTAAGTTCGGGAGGAGGCCCGGTTTGTTTATTTGTGGGTGACAGAGGAAGTCGCTAGATGCCTTTCAGTGTGTGAGAGGTGGTCCTTCAGCTGAAAGGAGAGTTCTACAAGCATGCAGGGTGCTGCTCCCCCCTTTACCTCCCCTTCCCCCCGGGAGTGGGAACCAATCTGGTGCCCGAGTGTGGTTTCATTGATACGGTCCTGAGAGAGTGGCTGGCGGGCCCTGGGTGCTGGAGGCCGCTCCGAGGCGCCCTCCTCTCTTAAAGAGGCAGCAGCACCGCCCCTGCCGGGCCTGCTCGGCGGCCTGAGCCTGCTGCCGGGAGGGCCCGGACGGGACACACCTCCCACCCTCCCCGGCCCGGGAGGTTCCTCCTGGAGGCCGACCGGAGGTGCTTGTGGGACTCTAGGGCACCCCCAAAGTTTGTCTGTGGCCTCTCTAGGAAAGTTCCCACCCGTGGTGCTGAGTCTAAGAACCCGCCAGCACTGTCACTGGCAGACGCGGTCAGTTCCAGAGTCCCGTGGGCTCTCCTGTGAGAGAGACCCAGGGCTTAGGAGGATAGTTTCCAGGGGCTTTGGGACCACAGGGTTTAGGGGCACCCAGAGTCTCACCCTACCTTTTTCTCTTTTGCCTTAAAAAATGAGCACAAACGGCCTGAGTCTCTGAGACCTTGCAGAGGGTGATGAAGGGACACTGGTCCTGGGGGCACACTTATCCCACAGACTCTTACCAGCCTGAACCTGCTTCTGTGTCAGGCATCAGTCCAATCTACTGCCCCCACTTCTCTGATTTCTCAGTCTTGGAGAGGGGGGTGGAATATGAGCCCCTTTAAATCTCCATACCCCCTAGGGGGATGGCAGTCTGATTTCCTCCTGAGGATTGAATGTGGAACCCCCTCTCCTACCACATGCCCCTTCTAAGCAGCAGCCAGATCTTACCAAAATTTCATTTCTGCAAAAAGGAAAAAAAAAAAAAAAAAAGCCCACAGAGGCTGCCAACCAAGTTTGTATTTCAAGAAAGAGCAGTAAAGTGTAGCTCAAGGAATGCGGCTCCTTTGCATATGTGAGCAGCTGCGTGGAGGGCTCTATAAATATGGATCTTCTGGGGGCCCCTGCTCTATAAAGGCCACTCTGGGGTGGTGGAGGGTTACCCACAGGGCTCAGTGGGCCTGGGCCCCAGGCAGGGTTGGTGAGCCTGGTTGGAGGAGGAGCATGTGGGTTTCTAGAGTGTGTTTTACAAACTCTGCTGGTCACCTGGCCACGGAGAGTTCATAGGCGCCACCACGTCCCCGGGTTTCTTCTCGTTGCTGCTCACTGGCTGGGTAGACCTGTCCAAGGGCACCGTGACCCAGGTGACAGGAAAGGGCTTTGCGTTGGAGGGGGGCATTCTGAATTCGGGGGAGTCCCAGCCCCAATGGGCATTAAATTCTGACTCGGGATCAGAAAAGTCACAACAGTTCAGCAGCTTTGCTGAAGGGGCAGGACTCCTAGGAATGCTGGGGACTGGGTCAGGGGCTCCCAGCTTCGCCAGGCCTGACACCCCAGGTGAGCAGCTTGGAATCCTGTGGGGGCTGCCCCGACCTAGAGCCTGGCTGAGCACTGCCCCCTCGTCCTTCCACAGGGGAAACCCGCATGAGGTTCTACGAGCTGTTGGTCACGGGCCGGTACACACCCCAGACCCTGCCAGTGGGGGAGCTGGATGCTGTCTCTCCTATCGTGAATGAGACCCTGCAGGTGGGTGTATTGATGTCAGCCCCCCATTACCATTTCCCCCGTGTGCCCTCTCCACGCTCACTTCGACCCCATCCATGGACACCAGGCCTAGGCGGGAAGGGAGCCTGCGCACTCCCATCACGGGTTCTCACGGCTTCCAAAGGTCCCCTCTGGCCAAGCGCTCCTTGAGCAAGGCTGCGGCCCTCCCCCGCGCAGGCTGCCATTCCTGCAGACCCAGAGCCCGGCCAGTCCTGCTTCCACATCGACGCTGGCCCGTGGCTGCGTGCGGTGCCCTCCACCCTGTTCCCGGAAAGCAGAGGTTCCTCCCCGCACCCACCTGGAGTCCCCTCACGCAGCAAGATGCGCAACCCAGCTCCTCCCCCAGCGTCTGCCCAGCGCCCTCAGGAGCAACTTTTCCAGAATCAAGAATCTCTGCTCCCTCGCAGGGCTGCTGGCATGTCCACGAGGCACTTCGGCCTTGCCACTCTGTTTAAACCCTAAAACACCGGGAGATGCGGGAAGGACCTGTTGGCTTGTCCCTTGCTCCTGGGATCGTAGTTCTCCCCGGCCCCCTCCGCCTGGAAGGTCTTTGGTTTCTGAGAACCGGAGGCAGGAAGGAAAGCCCAGCGCAGACCAAGATGTCAGGGTCTGCCCTTCTCTGCCGCAGGGATTAGGAAGAGCCTTCATGTTTCCGTGAGGGTAACTGGCTGTCCCAGGAGAAGAGGACGGGCAGACCGTCCGCTCCTTTAGACGCCCCCACCCCTTCCGTGGGCGCGCTGTAGGTCTGGAGCAACCAGTTTGGCTCCGAGGACCCCAGCAGCCAGAGTGAGAAGGGAAAACTGCGCCATTCCATGCGTGTTTGACCTGCAGTGATCTTAATCTCGCTCTTGCTCTCTCTCTCTAGCTGTCAGATGCCCTGAAGCGCTTCAAGGATGGCGGCCTGTCTGCAGGCTGTGGCTCTGGCTCATCCTCTGTCACCCCTAATAGTGGCGGGACACCCTTTTCCCAGGACACTGCTTACTCCAGCTGCCGCCTGGACACCCCCAACTCCTACGGACAGGGCACACCGCTCACGCCGCGCCTGGGCACCCCCTTCTCGCAGGACTCCAGCTACTCCAGCCGTCAGCCCACACCCTCCTACCTCTTTGGCCAGGATCCCACAACAACTTTCAAGGCCCGGCGCCACGAGAGCAAGTTCACGGACGCCTACAACCGCCGCCACGAGCATCATTATGTCCACAACTCTGCCGCGGTCGCCGCGGTGGTGGGGGCCGCCGCTGCCTTCCGGGGCGCCGCGGACCTCCCGTTCGGGGCGGTGGGCAGCAGCGCGGGCAGCGGCGGCCCACCTTTCAAGGCGCAGCCGCAAGAGCCAGCCACGTTTGCCCACACTCCGCCGCCCGCCCAGGCCGCCCCTGCTCCCGGAGTGACGTTCAAGTCGGCGTTCTCCCCGTACCAGGCCCCCGCGCCCCCCTTCCCCCCGCCCCCCGAAGAGCCCGGCGCCACGTCCACCTTTGGGGCCCGTGACGGTGGGGAGTTCCGGAGGGCACCCGTGCCCCCGCCCCTGCCGCCCGCCGAACCCCTGGCCAAGGAGAAGCCAGGCACGCCCCCCGCCCGCCGCCCCCTGACGCTAACAGCATGGAGCTGGGGGGCCGGCCCACCTTTGGCTGGAGCCCCGAACCCTGTGACAGCCCCGGCACCCCGACACTGGAGTCATCGCCCGCAGGGCCGGAGAAGCCCCACGACAGCCTGGACTCGCGCATCGAGATGCTGCTGAAGGAGCAGCGCACCAAGCTGCCCTTCCTCCGCGAGCAGGACTCGGACACGGAGCTGCAGATGGAGGGCAGCCCCATCTCCTCCTCCTCCTCCCAGCTCTCGCCCCTCGCCCCCTTCGGCACGAACTCCCAGCCAGGGTTTCGAGGCCCCACACCGCCCTCCTCGCGCCCCTCCAGCACCGGCCTGGAGGACATCAGCCCCACGCCGCTGCCCGACTCTGATGAGGACGATGAGCTTGACCTGGGCCTGGGATCCCGGCCCCCTCCCAAGCCAGGCCCCCCGGACCCTGCCAGTCTTTTGGGTCAGACAGCTGAGGTGGCCTTGGACCTGGCTGGAGACAGGACCCCAACCTCAGAGAAGATGGATGAGGTACCAACCACCCTGTCTGTCCATTCCTGTCCCGTGTGGGTTGTCTCTCTGGTCCTCTTCTCCCCTTTGAAACAGCCTCTTAGCAGCACGAGCTACAGCGGAGCACCAGGGTTAGGGCAGCCAAAGTAGCCGAGCAAACAGTAAGCGCCCGGAGCTGGGACGGCAGCTGGCTTGGCTCCGAGCCCCCAGCAGCCTTGAGGAGAAGGGAAACATGGCCCGATCCTGTCACTCTCCTCGTTATGCGATGCTCCTGGACCCCCCTCTCTGTCAGGTTGCTTGGGGATGATGAAAGCTGGTCTGACACTCCCGAGGATTTGGGGAGAGGTTTTGGCGGGAGCACTCTGCTGGGCTAGACCAGGGAAGCTCTGGAGCTTAGTCTCCTGGAGCCTGGTGCCCTCTGAGGAGATGGGAAACCACAGTGGGCAGGGAGAGCACCTGCCTCTGCTCCCAGCTCACCCAGTGCCTGAGTGGAAGGTCCGTCCTGGGGAGGGGTACCACCGGGACCGGGCAGAGTTGACCCCTCCCCCACCCCCATAGGGCCTCATGGGGTCTCACTGTTGAAACCTCTGGCCTCAGGGTCAGGCGGGGGTGATGCCCTGTCCCCTTGGGGGTGGATTAGGTCATCTTGACTCTGCCCTCCACCCTCCAGTCCTGGCCCTCCTGGAGACTTGGGTTGGAACCTGTGGTCCCGCGGGCGGGCATGAGTGAACCGCCAAGGGCTCCGGCTCAGACACAGCCCGGTGCCCTGGAGGCGGTGGGGAGGAGGAACCACCCCCCCTGCCCCAGGCCCTTTGAGTAGGCTGGTTTGGCTGCCTCAGGGAGGAACGGAGAGGAACTTGGCTGCCTGAGAGGGGACCACAGGTGGTTGGGGCTCCGCGGGGCCTCCAGGCAGTTCTGGGGAAGTGGTTTCCAGAGCCAAGGAGTCCAGACCGGGGGTTGACAGATGTGCAGAGGTGGGGTGCTGCCAGCACTGCCATCCTCCCTCTCCTTCCTCTCAGCTGCCTTAGGTTGGGGGTTGTTTGCCCTGCTGACAGACTGGTTCAGAATCCAGCTCAGCATGGTCTTGAGGGAGTGGACTGTCCTGCCCTGTCACTGTGGGAAGGCAAGACGGAGGCCCAGCGAGCTGTGTGCCCCGGGGGTGGGGGGCAGTGCTGAGAACTTCCAGGCTGGCCCTCGGGAGCCCCCTGCTGGAGGTCGAGAGGGCAGCACCGCGACTTCTGGGCGCTGACTCTGGAAGGGGTGAGGTCCCGGCAGCCCCCGTCCAGGCTGGCCTTGTGGGAGAGCTCTGCAGGTGGGGGTTGGGGGGCCTGGTGGAGTGGGGGATTTCCAGAGACTGGCTGTTAAAAGTGCAGGCTCCAGCCCTTGAACCTTGGGTGCCGGCTCTGTCGCTCACTGGCTGTGCGACTTGGGGAAGGCTCTTTCTCTCTTGAGTCTCGGTTTCCTTGTCTGTGAAATGGGGTGGTGAGAACACCTGCCCGGGGCTGTCTGGGCCTAAGTGAGGGTGTCTCTGGGGAACCCCCGGCAAGGCAGCGCGAATGGATTTGGGCTGGTGGCCCTGGACCTTCGGGCTCCCAGCTGGAGGGGCGGTGGGAGGGGCCTGGCCCAGGGCTGGAGCCTGGCGATTGGCTGGTGGCTTTGCTCAGTTAACCCTCTGTGTGCCGGTCCTGCCGTGGCCATGCTGGGCCTTGTCCAGGGCTGATCTCTGGGGTGCGGCTCAGTCCCCTTGTCAGGCCCAGCCCCCCAGCCCCCGGGAACCCTGTGGGAAAGCGTGTATGTGTGCACAGTGGGAGCCTGGCGAAATCCAGACCTCCTGATGCCACAGTAAGTTTGACCTGTGACCGCCCCAGGCTGCCGGCCCAGCCCCTCCTAGCCTGCAAAGGCACTGTCTCCTCGTGCCTTGCTCTGCCTTGTTCCCTGGGCAGGGCCTGGGCCTCTATGTCCCCTCTTGCTTTGATACCTGAGCCTGGGGTGGGGTGGCCTGGCCCTCCTTGCCCCACCCCTTTCCTGGCCTTCTCACTTCACCTCCTCCATCCAGACCCCAATGCTCCTCCACTTCTAGGCCTGTGTGTCCAACTCCCCAAGGTCTGTGTCATGGGGTGCCTGTCAGATTTTAGAACCGGGGTCGTCTTTGACCCCTCGCCCCTCTTCAATTGGGACCGCGTCTCTGCATTCTGACCAGAGCCCCTGACCAAGCAGGCACCTGGGCTGGAGTGCCAGGCCCCCCCCCCATCCCCCCCCACCCCCGCAGGATGAGAGTAGACCCACCCTGCGAGGTTACGGCACAGATGGGAGGCGAGGCTTGGTGTGCCCAGCCGCGTGCTGGCTGGCGTCCGGGTGAGAAGAGTGCTAGCGGGCAACGGAGGACTCGCCTCCTGTGGAGGGACCCTGAGTTCTGCCGACCCCTGCCCAGTGCCGCCTCCACCAGACCCTGTCAGCCGCCGTGCGTGGCTGGCTGACCCCGCGCGGCAGCCCCGGCTCCGTCTCTCGCTGGCTGTGTGACCTCGGGCGAGTCACCCGAGCTTTCTGTGCTGTTGCCTCATCAGTGCGGACTGAGGCGCAGACTGTCCGCGGGCGGCTCCGGGACTTCCTGGGCCGGGGCAGACACTGAAGTGCTTACCCAGGCGCCGCTGCAGGGGAGTTAACTGCTGGCGTGTCCTCTGACTACAAATTGAAACAGAATCTCTCAAATTGAAACAGAATCTACTTCTCCTCACTCCACCCCCTTTTTCTTCACTGCTGTTTACTTAGGTCATTTCTTCATCCCTGTTTCCTTGGTCTCTTCTCTCTGGAAGGTCAGCCCCGTTCGCCTGTGGCCACTGTGTCCCCCGCACAGGAACGGTGTCTGGCACACAGCAGCTGCAGAGCGAACGTTTGTTGAGCGAGTCCTGGTGATAGCCCCTGAGGTGGGCCCTGCGTTGCCCGTCGGGCACCTGGGGCACCTGAACTTTGGAGAGCTGAGTGGTGACTCGTCTGAGGCCGCCTGGCTGGGGAGGGGGACCTGGGGAAGGACCGGTGTCGGAGTTGCAGAGGCCACCTGGTCTGGCAGGGCTGCGGCTGCCCGGACCCAGCCCGCCCCTCCCCTCTCTCCCTGCAGGGCCAGCCGTCCTCCGGCGAGGACATGGAGATCTCAGACGATGAGATGCCCTCCGCCCCCATCACCAGCGCCGACTGCCCCAAGCCCATGGTGGTGACCTCAGGGGCCGCGGCTGTGGCAGCCCCCTCCGTGCTGGCCCCGACCCTGCCACTGCCCCCACCCCCCGGCTTCCCACCACTGCCCCCACCCCCGCCCCCACCCCCACCCCAGCCCGGCTTCCCCATGCCCCCACCTCTGCCCCCACCACCTCCCCCACCGCCCCCAGCCCACCCGGCTGTGGCTGTGCCCCCACCCCCCCTGCCAGGGCCGCCCGGCGTCCCGCCCCCGCCCATCCTGCCACCGCTGCCCCCCTTCCCGCCCGGGCTGTTTCCTGTGATGCAGGTGGACATGAGCCACGTGCTGGGTGGCCAGTGGGGCGGCATGCCCATGTCCTTCCAGATGCAAACGCAGATGCTGAGCCGGCTGATGACCGGCCAGGGCGCCTGCCCCTACCCTCCATTCATGGCCGCGGCCGCGGCCGCCGCCTCAGCAGGACTGCAGTTTGTCAACCTGCCCCCATACCGGGGCCCTTTCTCCCTGGGCAACGCCGGCCCCGGCCGTGGGCAGCCCTGGCCCCCGCTGCCCAAGTTTGACCCGTCGGTGCCACCACCAGGCTATGTGCCGCGCCAAGAGGACCCGCACAAGGCCACGGTGGACGGCGTCCTGCTGGTGGTCCTCAAGGAGCTCAAGGCCATCATGAAGCGCGACCTGAACCGCAAGATGGTGGAGGTGGTGGCCTTCCGCGCCTTCGACGAGTGGTGGGACAAGAAGGAGCGGCTGGCCAAGGTGCGCCGGGTGGGGCCCCAGCGGCGCCCCCTCCCTGAGGCACATGACTGCGAGGGCCGCCCCCTGCACCCCAAGATAGAGTAGTGGGGACATTAGTTTGTGAAACCTGTGTTCGGTGACCCGGGCGTCTGCCCGCAGCACAGCCCTCAGGCGCCCACCTCCAAAGCGCGAGAGCCCCCGTTCTGAGGCAGGGGGCTGTTGCACCCCATTTTGCAGGTGAGACAGTTGGGGGTTGGTGAGACAGAGTGGCGCATTGGGGGTGACCTGCGCGGTGGGCCGAGAGGGCCAGGTTCACGGCGAGGAAGCGGCCAGTTAGCCTGCAGCTGCCAGGTTGAGGGGGAGGCAGGCTGCTCACCCCCGGCCTCTCGTGCCAATCCGAGTGACCGCCCCTTCCTCTCGCCCCCAGGCCTCGCTGACCCCAGTGAAGTCGGGGGAGCACAAGGATGAAGACAGGCCGAAGCCCAAGGACCGCATCGCCTCGTGCCTGCTGGAGTCGTGGGGCAAGGGCGAGGGCCTGGGCTACGAGGGCCTGGGCCTGGGCATCGGGCTGCGAGGGGCCATCCGCCTGCCCTCCTTCAAGGTCAAGAGGAAGGAGCCGCCGGACACGGCCTCGGCCGGTGACCAGAAGCGCCTGCGGCCCTCGACCTCCGTGGATGAGGAAGACGAAGGTTTGCGTGCTCCCGGGTGCCGGGTGCCCTCCTCCCGGCGCCGCGGCTCGGCCCTGACACCGTCTCTCCTCGCAGAGTCCGAGCGCGAGCGGGACCGGGACATGGCCGACGCCCCCTGCGAGCTGGCCAAGCGGGACCCCAAGGGCGTGGGCGTGCGGCGGCGGCCGGCGCGGCCCCTGGAGCTGGACAGCGGCGGGGAGGAGGACGAGAAGGAGTCGCTGTCGGTGTCCTCGTCCTCGTCTGCGTCCTCATCCTCGGGGTCCTCCACGACCTCGCCCTCCTCCTCCGCCTCTGACAAGGAGGAGCGGGAGAGCTCCGAGGACGAGGCGGAGGCCGAGGCGGAGGAGGAAGGTCCCCGGAGCCAGGTCTCCTCGTCCTCCACCTCGTCCGCATCAGATAAGGTGCCTTTGGGGCGGGACCCCGAGGTGCTGGGCCGGGAGTGGGGTCCGTCGCTCACCACCCCCGCCCTGCGCTCCCCCAGGACGACGAGGACGACAGCGACGACCAGGACGAGTCTGAGGACGAGGACGAGGACACCGCCCTGTCGGAGGCGAGCGAGAAGGAAGGCGGGGACTCCGACGGAGGTGAGGGGCTGCGCCCCGGGGCCCTCGCGTCGGGCAGGGCCCAAGCAGACCCGCTGGTCTCCTGGGCGGTGGTCGCGCCGGGCTCAGGGCAGGCCCCGCAGGCCCGCAGGGCAATGGCGCGTCCGAGGCCAGCAGCGGTGCCTGCTCAGGGTGGGGCGGGCGGGGCGATGGCGAGGGCTGGAGGGGCTGGGCCTGGGGGTGGTGAAAGTGTTTAGGAACTTGCTGGAAGCGGTGGTCGTATGTGTTAGGAATGTGTGAAATCCCACCAACGTGTTTCCTTTCAAATGGTTGGTTTAATGTTGCGGGTTTCGCTTCAGTGCAAAGACCCGGTGACTGGTTAGCACACACCCCCACACGCCTAGGCCCCGCCAGCCTGGCGCCCCTGCAGAGACCTTGGGCTGTGCGCCTGGCTGGCCCGGGTAGGTGATGAGGGGGCTCCGCCTGTGTCCCCCTTCCAGAGGAGACGGTGAGCATCGCCACCTCCAAGGCCAGACCTGGGTCCTCCAGCCAGAGTTCCGAGTCTTCTGGGTTCGAGTCAAGCTCCGAGTCTTCGTCGTCATCCTCAGAGGATGAAGAGGAGCTGGGGGCCGGGGAGGAGGAGGAGCAGGAGGAGGACGCGGCGGCGGCGGACGAGAACATGGCTCCCGCTGCCCCGGAGGACGACCTCGAGGAGGACGTAGCCACCATGGCTGCGGGCGACGTACCTGTGACGGAGTCTGTGGGCATGGAAGAGGAGGTGGACGTTGAGGATGAGGCCCCGGAGGAGCAGGTCTGCCCCATGCTGGAGGAGCCCCTCTTGCTGCCCGTGGATGTCAAGGAGGTGGCAGGCTGCAAGGAGCCCCCTGAGGAGCTGGGCCTGAACCAGGAGGGGGCCAGGTTGATGTCTCCAGAGCCCCCCACTAAGGAGGTGGAGGCCCGGCCACCGCCGTCACCGGAGCACGTTCCAGGTGCTGCGCATGGCCCCGGGAGGGCAGAGGGAGGAGGTGGTGGGTCCTTACCTGCTGGATGGGCCGGGGCTGTGGGTCAATCACCTCACTTCCCAAGCCTCGGTTTCCCCAGCTGCATAGTCGGGTCGGTGCATGGTGCCCCTTTCAAGAGGCTGTCAGGGAGGATGTGTGAGGCGGTATATAACGTGCCGGCACAGAGCCTGGCACCTGTGAGGGAGCCGCTGCTATTTCCCTGCCTTGGTGCCAGCCTTTCCAGGTGTCCCATGAGATGCTCCCCCCAAAGGGGGTGGGTGTGCACTGTCACGTTAGTGATGGGTGGAGGGAGACCTCTGGGTGTTGGGCTCGGTGAGAGGGGCATGTATGCTGTGGTGCCACCCAGGGCCTCACTGTGGATGGGGTGTCCACTCGGTCCCATAGCCACCAGGCTCGGTGGCCACCAGGCCACGGGCACTTGGAGCCAAATTTGTGGTCTAAACTCATGTAGCCACGTGTGGTTCCTTGGGACCTCCAGCAAATCCTCTAGGAAAGGAACTTGTGGTGTTTAACTCTGTTATTTGGGACTAAACCACAGGTTTTTGAACATTGATTCGAGCTCCCTTCAATCCTCTGTCAGTCCTCCGGGCTGTGAAGGCGCTGACCTGGCAGCAGCGAGTCATCTGGAACCTCTGTTCTAGGCAGGGCGAGGGGGACGGCGTCTTCAGATAGTGAACGTGCCGTGGGACAGCGGTGGCGCCTGCTGGGAGACGCTCCCAGGGCCGTGACTGGCCAGCGGAGAAGAGTCATTGAATTTCCCTTGGTCCTGTATTTCTGATTCACGGGCCAGTTCCTGTTCCCAGAACACTGTTCTAAAGATACGGTGTTAAAGGCCAGCGACTATTTCCTGCACCTTTGATTGACGCCACCACCGTCTATTAAGCACTTACTGTGTGCTTGACGTTGGGCTGGGCGCTAAGTCTTCCTCAAGTGGGTTAGTTGGACAGTCCCTGTACTCAGTAGAAACCCTGTGGCCTCGGGACTGAGTTGGCCAGGCCCTGAGCGCGTAGTAAGGCGATGTGGACGGGGCATTGAGAGATGATTGAGTCAAGTTCTAACACTGCGCCTTCTGCCCATCTCTCCGCAGAGAAAGACGTGGAGGCCGAGGCCAGGCCTCCTCCGATGCTCTCCTTACCACTGCAGCCACCCTTGCCGCCCCCTCGACCGCCCAGGCCGCCTAGCCCACCACCGGAGCCCAAGACCCCTGACCCCCCACACCCACCCACCCCCCTGGAGCCTCCCCCTGAGGACCAGCCCCCACGCACTCCAGGCCTCTGTGGCAGCCTGGCCAAGTCGCAGAGCACGGAGACGGTGCCGGCCACACCGAGTGGGGACCCCCCACTGTCAGGGGGCAGCAGTGGCCTGTCACTGAGCTCCCCACAGGTGCCCGGCAGCCCCTTTTCCTACCCATCCCAGTCCCCCAGTTTGAGCAGTGGGGGCCTCCCCAGGACACCTGGCCGGGACTTCAGCTTTACACCCACCTTCCCCGAGCCCGGGGCACCCCTGCTCCTGCCCGTTTGCCCCCTCCCAGCTGGCCGGCGTGATGAGCGGGCTGGTCCCCTGGCTTCCCCGGTACTCCTGGACACGGGCCTGCCCCTCCCACTGCCTTTGCCCCTGCCCCTGCCCCTGGCATTGCCTGTACCTGTCCTGAGGGCCCAGACTCGGCCCCCCACCCAGTTGCCACCCCTGCTGCCTGCCCCGCTGGCCCCCTGCCCGCCCCCCATCAAGAGGAAGCCGGGCCGGCCCCGGCGATCCCCGCCGGCTGTGCTCTCCCTGGATGGTCCTCTTGTCCGGCCTCCGGGGGCGGCTGCCCTGGGCAGGGAGCTCTTGCTCTTGCCAGGCCAGCCACAGACCCCTGTCTTCTCCAGTACCCATGATCCTCGGGCTGTGACCCTGGACTTCCGGAACGCGGGGATCCCGGCCCCCCCACCGCCTCTACCCCCCCAGCCACCCCCGCCCCCACCCCCACCCCCTGTTGAGCCTACCAAGCTGCCCTTTAAGGAGCTGGAGAACCAGTGGCCCTCTGAGGCCATCCCTCCGGGCCCCCGCGGGCGCGATGAGCTCACCGGGGAGTTAATGGACATAGCCAAGGGGCGGGGGCCCTGGCGCCGGCCCCCCAAGAAGCGTCATGAGGACCTGATAGGCTCGGCCTCGCCTGAGCTCTCACCCCCGCAGCCCCTCTTCCGGCCCCGGTCAGAGTTCGAGGAGATGACCATCCTGTATGACATCTGGAATGGCGGCATCGACGAGGAAGACATACACTTCCTGTGTGTCACCTACGAGCGGCTGCTGCAGCAGGACAACGGCATGGACTGGCTCAACGACACCCTCTGGGTGTACCACCCCTATATCCTGCCAGTTGGGGTGGGCGCCCCCCATTCCCCACGCCGCCCACCAAGGCAGTGGTGCTAGTTACCGTCTCCACAGGCGGCACCTGAGGTGGGCCCGGCAGTGCCCCCGGGTCAGCGGGTCTCAGGGCCAAGGAAACAGCGTGGTTTGCCCGAGAAGGGGCTGGTGCTTCCTGCCCCCAGGCCCTTGCCCAGCACCCCAGGCAGGTGGGGCCTGGGACTTTTCCCATTTTACATCTGAAGAAACAGGCTCCAAGAGGTTCAACTAACACCTGCCCCCAAGCCGCAGAGCTGGGTCTTGCGCCCTGGCACCTCTGGCCCTGAGCCGGGTTCTGGTGCTGCCCGAGTGGCGCTTGTGAGCATAGCCCTGGAGCTGGGGCTGTTGCTCCTCGGGGCCTGGTGGTGGCACTGTCAGGAGCTCTACTACCCAACCTAAATGTTCACAGAAGGAGAAACGGGCAGGATGTGGCTAAGAAATATACCCAGGGGCATATGGCTAGGTACCCCGGGCAGCCCTGTTCCTCAGTGGCGCTGGCCAGCTCTGGTGCATGGGGGTGGGACAACGGTGTCCATGTGGCCCTTGACCCACACCCACCCACCAGCCTCTCTTCAGCCAAGAAAAAGAAACGGGACGATGGCATCCGAGAGCACGTGACGGGCTGTGCCCGCAGCGAGGGCTTCTACACCATCGACAAGAAGGACAAGCTCAGATACCTCAACAGCAGCCGTGCCAGCACCGATGAGCCCCCCGCAGACACCCAGGTACTGCCATGGGACCCCTGAACACACCACAGGCTCCCAGACCAGGCCATGGCCAGGGGCCCTACGGGAGGGGGGTGGGTGACAGGTGGTGTGGAGTGGGGGGCTAGCATGTGGAAGGAGCTACCTGGACGCTCAGGTGAAAGAGGGGAAGGCGGCAGTGGTTTTCATCAGAGTCGAATTGCATTTTCAGAAGTGCCAGTCCTTTTTCACTCCGCAAGTAGCTACTGAGTGCCTGCTGCGGTCCAGGCGCTGTTCTGGGACTATCACAGTGAAGAAAACAAAATTATTTTCAGCGCAGAACTTACATTTAGTGGGGGGTAGGAAATAAGCCAGTGACAATTTCAGGTGAAGAAAATACTGTGGAGAAAACGGGAGAGGTTAGGGGTTGATAGTTGGAGAGAGTGAAAGATGGTGACGTTTGAACCAGATCTGAATGAAATAAAGAAATGAACCAGGTGGGTAACTCAGAGAAAGAGAAAAATACTTTTGACAAAAAGAAGACAGGAAAGGGACTCACTAAGTCCCCTGGGCCACACTCAGGGAGACGCAGGTGTGAGCAGGTGTGAGGCCCTGAGGCCCGAGGAGCTGCTGGGAGGGCAAAGGGAGAACTTTGCAAACCGGATGCAAACGAGTGGGCGTGGCCAGGTACCAGTAAAACCTGATTGGAAAAAAAAGATGTTTAGGCCAGAATTTGCTGCCCATTTCTCTAGCGTTTAATAGCGGGGCCTAGGCTAGAAATAGAAATTTGGGCAGCAGCTGCAGTACCGATGGAAATTGAAGGCGTGGGAAATAATTGATTGTTAGTATCATCATCATCCTTACCTAGCCTAAGGGGCTGGGTGTGTGGTAGTGACCAAGGCGAGCAGGAAGGGTCCTGGGGCAGTGGCAGCAAACGCTGTGCAGGTGCCTCCGCAGTGGTCGTCGCCATGGGGGGACACGAAGCCAAGGGGGCAGGTGTGGGCGCTGACGCGGGACCCGGTGGGAGGGAGATGATGATTAGGGATTAGGGACGTGAGGGCGGGGTGGGCCGGGCGGCGGGCGGGCCCCCCAGCAGGTGCCCCCTGACCGCCCCACAGGGCATGAGCATCCCCGCGCAGCCGCACGCCTCCACGCGGGCCGGCTCCGAGCGGCGCTCCGAGCAGCGGCGCCTCCTGTCCTCCTTCACGGGCAGCTGTGACAGCGACCTGCTCAAGTTCAACCAGCTCAAGGTGAGGCCCGGTGGCCCGGGAGCCGGGGTGGCCGCAGGGCCCCGCCTCGGGGTTCACCCTCCTGCCCCGCCCCCCCCCCCTAGTTTCGGAAGAAGAAGCTCAAATTCTGCAAAAGCCACATCCACGACTGGGGCCTGTTCGCCATGGAGCCGATCGCCGCCGACGAGATGGTCATCGAGTACGTGGGCCAGAACATCCGCCAGGTAGGCCTGCGGGGGGTGGGGGGGAGGGAGAAATGGGGGCGTCACGGGGGGCTGCCGGGGTGGGGAGGGGGTAGAGGGCCCCATGGCCAGGGCTGAGGCTCCTCCTGGCCAGGTGATCGCCGACATGCGGGAGAAGCGGTACGAGGACGAGGGCATCGGCAGCAGCTACATGTTCCGGGTGGATCACGACACCATCATCGACGCCACCAAGTGCGGCAACTTCGCACGCTTCATCAACCACAGCTGCAACGTGAGTGCGGGCGCCAGGCCCTGCGGGGTACAGGGTGGGGCCGGGGGTGCCGGGGAGGGCGGAGAGAAGAAGGTAGGGAACATGAGGCCTTTTCGGGAGCGTCTCTCTGCCCAGCCGCAGTGTTCCTGTCCGCCAACTGGGCAGAGATGGCTGCCGTGCCCGGTGGGCTCCGCCACTCCAGAAGGGCCCTCCCAGGTCACGGGAGAGCCCCGTGGGGCCGGGTCTGCCCCTGGCCTCACTGGCCGCGCTGGCCTCAGGAGCCTGCGTTCAGGGGCAGCCCCGTTCCTGAAGGGGTGCCCCCTGTGGTGGTGGCCAGTGTGACTGAAGCACTGAGTTTTTAATTTGAATTTAATTAAGTTAATGCAGCTGCTGAGGACTGGGGTGGACAGCACAGGTGTATGTGTGTGTGTGGGAGGGGGCGGTGTTGATTAAAGGGATGGTTCTGGACTGCAGACAAGCACAGGCTGCTGCTTCCAACAAGAGGCAGGCGACTTCTGGAGCAAGTTCTCCCAGCTCTGGGGTCTAGTCTTGGCATTGCTGCCTATTGGCTGGTTGCTTAATGTCCCTGTGCCTCGGTTTCCTCAGCTGTGAAGCAGGAGCGATGACTGTCTCTCCTCGTAGGTTGTTGGGGAGGCCTGGTGGGTTTCTGGGTGCGCTGACTCAGTAGCTGTCAGCAGGTACTGGCTCCCAGGTAAAGCAGGGAGGTCCTGGGGCAGGGAGGGAGAATACGCGGCAGGGCCTTACGAGGGGGGATGGCTGAGGGGGCAGGCCAGGGGGCCAGGAGAGCGGGAGGGTGGCTGGTTTGGGTGGCCAGCCCACTCAACCTTGCGGGCATGAGAAGTTTCTCTAAAGGGCAAGGCAGTCGTGGGCGACAGGGTCTGCTGTCCGTTCGGAGGGATTTCCCTGGGTGCTGAGCCAGGAGCGGTTTTCATCAGGGGTCAGCGAGCCGCTGCCATCTGGAGGTGGCGGTGGAGAGCAGCGGGTAGACCGGGAGGTTCTCTGGAGGCAGAGCTGACTGGGTGTGGCTGGGGGGGGTTGCGGGAGAGGCTGCTGCTGTCGCCTGGGTGCATGGGAGCCTCCAGCAGGAGCAGGCCGTGAGCTGAGTCAGAGAAGTCTCCTGGGGCTGCCGAAGGTAGATCCAGCAGGTAGTTGGGTCTGTGTGTCTGGAGCGGCCCCCCCCCCACCCTTTCTATACAAGGCCAGGTAGCAATTATTTTTGACTTTGTGATCAGGACGGTCTCCACAGCGCCTTGGTCTCCGCTGTGACAAGGCGGCCAGACCGTATGGAAATGAGTGGCTGTGGCTCCGAGCCAGTAAAACTTTATTTGCAAAAACTGGCAGCTGGGGCCAGAGTTTGCTGATCCCGTCTTTAGAGCCCAGAGTGGGGTTTGGGCTACAAGCAGAAACATGGGAGTTACTTGTGGTCTAAATGGAAACTGAAGCCCGGGAAGTGGTTTCTCGCTGTCACCACCGTCATCGTGCTTCATGGCACCAGGCCCGGGCCTGTCACCCCGGCGGGGCCCAGCAGGCCTCACTGAACAGGGAGCTTGCTGGGTCTGGGGGACCTTGGGTAGAGGGCCGGGGTGGGCACCTGGGTGGGTGGTGGTCTCACCGTCTCCTCCCAACCCCCGCAGCCCAACTGCTACGCCAAGGTCATCACGGTGGAGTCGCAGAAGAAGATCGTCATCTACTCGAAGCAGCACATCAACGTCAACGAGGAGATCACCTACGACTACAAGTTCCCCATCGAGGACGTCAAGATCCCCTGTCTCTGCGGCTCCGAGAACTGTCGGGGGACCCTCAACTAGGCCCTGGGGCCTGGTCTCACCTCCCACCCCCATTTCAGGTGCTGTCCCTCTGCCCAGCGGCCATGTCGGGCCCGGCGCCCCCAACACTACCCTGTCCCATCCGCAGCTCCGGCCCCTCAGTGGGAAAGGGCTTCTGTCGCAGTCCAGGTCTCTCTCGCTTGTTTTTTAACGGCTCCTTGCAGGACTGTTGGACGTGGCCATCAGCCTCTGTCTCCCCCTCTGCCTTTCTCTCTCCCGTCTCCGTCTGAGTGTCTTTTCTCTTTCCAGTTTTCATCTTCAGCCTCACCGTGAATGCTGCTATGTCGTCTGTCTTCTGTATTTTCTTCCTCATCATAAGAAAAGACATTTTAACCGTTGAAATGTGAAGGCAGAATCAGAGAGCGGGGACCCCTGGCAGAGGCCACAGGGGCCTCGGTGCGCCGGTGTGGGGCCCAGGCCGGGGCCCCCCCAGGCCAGGGTGCCGCCTGGTGCTGCCGAGAGGAGGAGACCATGGCTCCACCTCAGAACACTAGGCGAGGCCCCCCTCTCGCCAGCCCACCCCACTCAGCAGACCCCACCCTTCCCATCTCCCCAGTCTGTTTTCTCCCCAGCAGTTGGGGGCGCCACCTCCCCAGCACACGCTGGTGGAGCCAGGCTGGTCCCGGGCAGGAAATTCTCCTCTGGGCTCTCACCGCACACCTCGCCACCCCAAAAATCTTGGGTTCAGTGTTTACTTTCTCATTCGAATGCCAGCAACGAGGGAGCCTCCCGGAGCCCCCAGTGCGCGCCAGGGCCACCAGGAGGGTCCCACTTGCTCTCCTGCCTGCATCATGCCCCCAGGCAGGCATCATGCCCCCAGGCAGGCAGGAGTGTGGGGGCGTCCCACCTTACGGGTGTCTGAGTGGATTCGTGTGGCATTTATTACTTTGTTTATAAGCTTCACCCGCTCACCCCAGCCCGCCCCCCCCCCCCCCCGCCGCCAGCAGCCCCCACCCCAAGAGTCATGAGCATATTTATTTTTGGAGTGAGAAGATTATTTCTCCCAGAGAAAGGAAAATCTTGGAAAAGATTTTAAAGCTCAGATGTAAGTCTGAGAGTTTTTTTTCCCTTTAACCTTTTTGACACCCGCCCCCGCCCCCATCCTCTTCAGGGTTTAGTTCCTTGGATTTTGTTTTCTTTCGCATGTATAAAATCCAAACAAAGGGGGAAAATAGGTTTTTGAAGTTCAGAACCAACTTCTGTATATAGGCTGCCATAAAGGACTTTTCTCGGGGACATTGTTTCTTGTAGAAACATGTGGGAAGACTTTTTTGCTCATTTCTTTGTACTTCCAAAAAACCACACACGCACACACGCAAGTCCCCGCGCCCTAGAAAGCAGCGCAGGCGTGTACATAATTTATGGAACGTGACTGTTGTGACCAGGAGTCATCCTCACCGAGGTGGGAGCGCTCCCGGTGGGCCCCCAGCCCGCGGACACAGGGCCTCGGGCCTCTGGAATTCAGCTTGTGTCAAGCTTGTTATCATGTAAATTCTGTACAAAGAATTGTTATTTTTCTCTCTTTTTTTTGTCGTTGGTGGTTTTGTTGTTTCTTTTTCTTTGCCCCGCGCCCTCTCTGAGACTGTGCCCTCCTGGTTTCAAAGTCCATGAAGTTGGTGGCATTAAGACACAGGGGGGACCTGGGCACAGCGGTGACCTTCTCTTCCGTTTGCAGTTTTCTGCCTAATTTTGCGCGACCGAGGAAATATTTATTTTTCACATGAGGAAATGTGTAGCGTGTAGAGACGGCTGCTTTAAGTTACTTACGCAGCCCCCAAGGGGCTGCCTTCATTCTGTCCTTCCGCCCCAAAAAGTAGTGAAGGGAGAATGTGAGGAGCCAGGGCACAGACCCTGACTCAGGCCTCCCCTCACCCTGGCCTTCCCTCGCCCAGCCGGCCCTCCCGGAGGGCCAGGGGCTGGGCCTCCCTGTCCCCAAGGCTCCCCGCCCACCCCCAGAATGGTTTGCAGTACCCAGAAGTGTGTTCGCTCACTTTCCTTTCGATGCCTTCCTTTTCATTGAACAAATCTTTGCTTTTGAAGAGTTGGGGGTTTCTGACTTTCTGCCTTTTTTTTTTCTTTCTTTCTGTTTGGTCCTTGCCTACCTGCCTCCCTCCTGCAGAGAAGAGAATCCATACGTTTTAGGGCTGTTCGTGCATCTAGACTCTGTCCTCTGTATGTAACTTGTTTGGAAGAGAAGTGTTTCCGTTGTGGGTGTGTCTTGCTGTAAATATTTGTTCATATTTTTGTGAATTCAATACTATGTACCATTGTATTATAGTAACTTTTATAAAGCAAACCATAAATATACTGACTTTTCTTACAGATACGCCGTCTCTCTTGCTCTCCTCTCCTCCTCCTCCTTTCTTTCTGTTGCGGGAACACGCTGTTCTCAGAGGGTGGACGGCTGGGCTGGGGGCTGGTCATCCGTCAGGCCTACAGATCCTCAGCTCGCTGCCTGTAGGTGAATTTTGTGAACTAGGCCCACTTATATTCAGATTTGATCTTCCATAGCTTTTAAGTTTTCCTTCTAGAACTTTCCTTAAAACCTTAGCTAGCTAGCACCACTACTTCGCAGTTGAGGAAACACCAGATACCCTGTTGCTGTCACTAGAATGTGGAAAGATGGTGTCTCAAAAATGTTTTAACACTCTAGGTTACGTCCCTCTGGTCTGCGTCTGAGCGGGGAGGGGCTGATAAGACAGTCACAGTTGAGAAGAATGAAATGGACCCAGTGTGTGGTATTCCAGAGGTTCTGTGCCCAGGTAGGCTTCAGCTGCGCCTCACCATGGAGAGTTTGAGACCGCGTCCTTGAGAAGGGTGGGCTCAAACCCTTAGCCTGACTCAAGAGGTGCCGTCCCCAGCTTCTTAGCAGAAAGGAAGTTGCCAAATACCCCATGTGGGCCAGTGTGGGGTGGCGGGTGCTCGTGTCCTGTTAGTGCAGGGTGAATTGCCGCAACCTCCAGGAGGAAAAATCACATCTTAATACCAGGATTTAGTGTCACCAACTCTTCAGCCATCGTTAGGAATTGCATCTGACAGCCCCGGCCGCCCACCCGGCTGGGCAAGAATGTTCTTTGCAGCTTCATTTGTGAGCGAAGAAATAAAGCAGGGCAGCTGTCCACTCACGGTGGGATGGTGTTTGGAATTGTCCATCCAGACAGGTGGACACCATGGCAACAGAAAAGGGTGAGGCTGGGTCAGGAAAGAGATGGTGGAGGCAACTGCCAGTCGTTTAACCAACATTTATGGATCACCTAGTTAATGGCAGGTAGTCCTCTAGGCGCTGGGCACAGGAGAAAACACTCCCGGCTTCATGGTGATTGTGTTCTCGTGGGTAAGCCAGACAAACCAGGAGAATAAATGCTATGGAGTAGTAGGGAGGACAGCCATGAGATGGGGGTACCAGTTGGGGGGGGGGTGTAATTTAAAATGGGGTGATCAGGGAAGTCCATGTAGCCTACACCTGAACAAAGCTCAGGAGATGGGGCGTCCACCCTGCGGTGACCTGGGGGGAAGGTATTCCAGCCAGAAGGGACAGGGAGGGCAAAGGCCCTGAGGCCTTTGGGACCTGCTGGGAGGTCTGAGTTAGGGAAGAGGAAGGTGAGAATGAGGGAAATGGACCCCCAGCTCCCTGGTGGTGCAAGGGAGGCAACTTGCAGGGTCTGGTCCCAGGCACACAAAGGAAACACACCCTGTGAATTTCCTTGCTCTTGAAACTAAACCTGCTGTGTTTTCCACCTCTGTCAATGGCCTGAGCTCCAAACCCAGAAGTACTAGGCTTCTGTTCCTGTCTCCCAAGTCTGACGGTTCTCTCTCCCTCTTCACGCCGCTCACTTACCCTCAGTCCCGAAGGGATTAGTCCATTGGTCACTGGCTGTGCAAACAGGGAGCCCAATACCAGAGATGGGCATGAACAGAGCAGAACACGGTAGTTGGGATGGGGAAGTGCCAGGTAGACTTGATCAAGAATTCCAGAGAATTCCTTCTCCATCCAGGTTTCTCTCCAAAAACAAGAGCAAGCACAGCCAGCCACCATACTGAACAACTTTGATACTAAACTCACAGCAGAGCTAGGAGGTGGCTTTTGTTATCACTCCCATTTAAGAGGTGAGAAACGAAGGCTCCGAGAGTTCGAGTAGCTTGCCCAGACTTCACAGCGAGCATTGGCTGAGCTGGGGGGTGAGCCCCAGCAGTCCAGCTCCCCAACCTGTGCTCAGCTCATGGAGGTCTGCTCTGTCCAGGGCCCCTCTAAAGGGACACTCACCAATTGGCATCCACTGATTGCTCTGCATCGGAAAGCCAGCCCCAAATTGCTTGGTAATTCCAAGAAAAACCAGAATCCTTGAACTTGTATGTAAAGGATCCCAGCTTTCTAAAACGTTGACTCAAGTTTGTTTAAAACCAGGCAGTCGACATTAAATACATCTGTGAGCCAGATTTGGTCTGTGAGCCCCCCAGCTGTAAGCTCCTGGGTCACAGAATTTCCCTGCTTTGCATAGAACATTGGAAAACAGGGGAGAGTATTTTTAATCAGCTCAGGTCTGCAGCCTGCCATTGCTGCTCTGGCTGCTCACTACTGTTCTTTTCGTTTCTGAAGTTCATGTTCCCAAGAAGCCCGTTTTTTAACCTGAAAAAAAAAAAATTCTACAATTCTCCCATGATACCCACTCAGATTTTTCCCTGCCACTGAGATACACGTGCTCCTGGTTCAGAGTTGAGTCATCCCTCAGGAAAGGTGTCATACATCAGAAGCAAAAGGAAAAAGACTCAATTTGCCACTCTGCCCCTTCTCTGGGTTTCCAGAAAAATGGCCTTCCAAGAGTTTTAGGGTCAGCAGCTTGTCCCTCAACTGTGTCATTCTTTTGCAAAGGGTCACTCACACTTGAGTATGAACTAGACCCTTTCCAAAAGGAGTCCTCGCTGGGAGCAAGGCTGGGGCAGTGGAGCTGCAGGGGAGGGGTTGGAGGATATTGATTACCTGGCTGGGGGTAGAAGTTGAGGTGCTCGCACCCCACCTACCTGCTCTGCCTTGGGCCAGGACCTGTGTCCTGGGGTCGCTGAGCAAGGACACTGCCCCAAAGCCCCTCCACTAACAGTGTCCCCCCTCCGCGCCCAGAGGTTCGGGCTCTGGGCAGTCAAGCTGGGGACAGGCCATCCCGACAGACCATAAGGCGTCGTGCAGGATGCTGCGGCCCGGTCCCCATGAGGGTCTTCCCTCCCGCTGTTCCCTCTCCTGGGGATGTTCTCTTCCCCGATTCCCTGTGGCTGGCTCCCAAAGGTCACCTTCCCAGAGGGCCCCTCCCTCTTCGGAAGTGGGGGCCCCTCCCGCTTCGCCCGCCCGCCGCCCCCTGTCTGCTTCCGTTTCTTCACCGCGTTTCCCGCCCTGCGAGAAGGCGCCGCCTGCCTCGCCTTCAGATCCTGTGCACCCGCCAGTTGCAGATTTGCCCCCGACCCACGTGGCTCGACTCGGCGCCTCAGGGCGCAGCCGCGCGGCACCCCCGGCGGCCGGGGCGCAGCCGCCGCCCGCACGAACACGCGGACACCGCGTCGGACCCGCGCGGCTTTATTTGCGGGGCGGGGAGCAGGGGCGGCGGCCGGGGCGTGGTCACGCAGTGGGCGTGGTCACTCCGTGGGCGGAGCCTTAGAGGTACGGTAGCCGATTGGCTGGCGGGGCCAGGAGGGCGGGGCGGGGCTAGGGCCACGGCTGGGGGCGTGGCCACCCGGCGGCGGGGGCGGGGCTGCGAGGGCGCCGCCGCGACCCGCCTACATGCCGCGCACCAGCCCGTTGGTTTCCACGTCGGTGAGGTTGCCCCGCAGGTCCTGCTCCTCCTCGAAAGCCTTGAAGAGGGAGTTGAAGTTCCCGGCGCCAAAACCCTGAGCGGGAGAGCGGCGGTGAGCGGCGGGCCCCGCCCCCCCCAGCCCCCACCCCCCACCCCCCACCCCCCGGCCCGGCGGTACCTGGTGGTTGTGGCGCTGGATGACCTCCAGGAAGAGCGTGGGCCGGTCCTGCATGGGCTTGGTGAAGATCTGCAGGAGGTAGCCCTTCTCGTCGTAGTCCACCAGGATTTTCAGCTCCTAGGCCAGAGCAAGCGCGTCGGGCTGGGGGAGGCTTGGAGAGCCCGTCGGGCCTCCTTTACCCTCGAAGCCAAGGGGAAAAAAATCTCCAGCAGCTTCAGACACCTCCAGACAACCCCCCCAAATGGTCCCTTTACTCCCCCTCTGTCACAGAGGTGTGCTGCCACCAAGGCTGGTCGGACACCCCAGGTGGCCCAGCTGCCACTCTCGCCTCCTTACAGTTTAACCTGCCCCTGGACTTCAGCGGGACTTTTGAAAGGCAGAGCAGGACACGTCCCCGTTGAAAACCCTCCAGTGGAAATCGGAACCCTCCTGTGTTGCTGGTGGGAATGTAAAATGGTACAACCACTTGGGAAAACAGTCTGGCATCCCCTCGGAAGGTTACTACGTGATTCAACAGTTCTACTCCTAGAAATACACTCCAGAGGATTAAAAACAGGCCCACATAAAACTTGTGCATGAATGTTCACAGCAGCACTATTCACAGTAGCCCAAAAGTGGAAACAACAAAAACAATTTAGCCACACGGTGGAATATTATTCAGCCATGAAAAGGAGCAAAGGGCTGACACCTGTGGCAACATGGGTGCAACTGGGAAACATGGTGCTGGGTGAAAGAAGCCAGTGGCCCTCTGTGATTCCATTTATGGGACATGTCCTGAGTGGGGGAAATCTGTCGAGATGGGTGGTTGCTTAGGGCTGGGTGCGGGGGGCCGTGGGAGTGCGTGTGAATAGAGGAATTGGGGGGTGAGGGCTAGGTGCTGTCACTTTTCTTTTTAGAGTGATAAAAATGTTCTAAAGTACTGATAATTGCAGCGAGGCTTCTGAGGCCAACAGGGAGAGAGTAAGGAGAAAGGGCCGAGACGTGGGTGGTGGGAAAGAATAAGTAAACAAAATGCCATGATTCAGTATAAAGGAAAAACATTTTGAACAGGCTCTGACTCGTGGATCCCAGGAATTCAGCGCCATGGCAACCGAGAATATGCATTTGTCTCAAGTACCATGACATTTAAACAAAATGCTCTTCCTTTATGTCTTCACCGAAAGTCCACTTCAGTGGTGACTGCACAATGTTGCGAATAACTGAGAACCACTGACCTGTGTCTTTCAAGCGAGTGACTGATGTTTTGTCACTTACATATCAACAAAATGAAAGATAAAGATGCCTCCAATGATTGTAGGCAACAGAAGATCAAAATCAAATGCCTAAATAGCCCACAAAAGGAATTGGCCCCTGCCTGCCTCTGTGACCTGGGTTGCTCCTCGGACACTTGGTACCTGCTCCTGCCTCCGGACCTTTGCACTTGCTGTTCTCTCTGCTCGGTCCCCTCTTTCCCTGACCCTTCGCACAGTCACCTCCCTCTTATCATCTAGATTTCACTGAAGTGTCACCTCCTCAAAAAGGTCCACTTACATGACCTGGGAAGTAGCCCCAGGCCTTTGTCTCAGCCTGTCTTAACCTTGGGCATGGCAGGATCTCCCGGTCTCTGATACTGTTTGTATTGCATATTTATTTGTCATCTGTCCAGATGCATGTCCCGGGACACCAGGGGTCTGGCCTGGTTTTTCCTCTGTGTCTCTGTGCCCAACTCCGGGTAGAGGCTTAGACAATTTATGAGGCAAGATGGCACTCGGGCTGGTTCCCCAGCTGACGGAGGAGCCTGCCCTAGATAGAACTCACCTCCAGAACATCAATGCTCTCCTTCACCCGGATCTTGGCCGTCTTGAGATTCTCCCGGAGCTGTCTGTAGTACGCGGAAGGAACAGCCAGGAACTCCATGCCTCTCTCTCTCAAGTGGCGAATCTGTCTCGGAGCAGGGTGGATGTGAGCCTCCTCTCCCCATGCTCAGCACCCCGAACCAGGCAGATGTGCTGGACCAGGAGCGGGCAGGTCCCTATCCTGGATCCCCCCAACTGCCAGGGGATGGTGTGACCTCATCCCGTTTTCTCAGGGCCATGTGGCCCCATTAGAACAGCAACCACTAACATTTAGGGAAGGCTCACAGTGTCGCTTCTGTAGCACCTTATGCGTCTGAACAGTAATCTTTGGGGCATCTGCAGGGTCATGAGACCCACTGTTTAGCTGGGGAAGCTGAAGTACTGGGCAATGAGGTATGTATTGGACACTTAGTAGCCAGAATGGTTTTGTTAAAATTCCAGTCTAATCGTGTCACCCTCCCCTTTGCTCCTGGTGATGACTCATCTTGAGTTCAAAGTCCTCACGGCCCCCACGTTGCCGGACCTCCTCTGCTGCCCCCTCTCCCCTGCTCCTTCTCTTCCAGCAGCGCAGATCCCCTGGCTGTTCTGTCAGCCGTCTCTGCCAGGGCTGTTCCTTATGCCTGGGGTGCTTTTCCCTGCATTTCTACCACTTCTTTCTCCCTCCAGCTCTGCATTTTCGAATGTCCCCTTCTCAAGGAGGCCTCCGGTGACTGCCCTATTTAAGGCCCTGCTTGATTGTCCTCCAGAGCGTTCCCTGCCATCTAATGTATATTTGACTTATTTTTCTTAAAAGGGCTGAAACTATCCTCTTGTTGATTGATGGCTCCTAGGTGCCTAAAGCAGTGCTGAGCACATAGCAGATGCTGGGTAAACAGCTACTGAGTGCCGAGCGGATGACTGGATGACTGGATGACATTGCCAAGGTCATGCAGTGGCCGCTCTGGTGGGCCAACATTGAATGGGATGGTCCGGGCTCGTGTCAACGAGAAAGAATGGGTGGCACCAGCCATCCCAAGGGCTGGGTCCATGTCTCAGGACATTTAAATTGGCCTAAAGCACCTAGTAGACCTCACAGCCTTAGACCCTCATTTTCAAGGTGAGGAAACTAAAGCCCAGAAAAGGGGTTGAATCCCCCAGAGACACAGCAAGTCACTTGCAGACGTGACCACAATGCAGGCTTCCTGTTACTAGGGAACCCGTGCTTCTAAGGCCAACAGTGCTGTGCAGAGGGGCCGGGCTCCCTGGCTGGGCACCTGCCGCCCCCAGCTGGGCATCTGCCTGCCCGGGAGTGGCAGGAACCAGGAAGGGAGCCGGGGATAACTGCTGCCCCCACCCCACCCCTATTTTGCACTCTGGAGCTGACTGGGAGGCAAATTCGGGTGGGGAATGGACTTCCAACCGCTTTGATGATGTCTTGGGTCTTCAGAGCGATGTGCTGGACCCCAGCGCCCCCGTTATAGTCCACGTATTCCTGCAGGAGGGAGTCAGGGAAACCGCTGTCATCTGCTCCCTCCACCCACATGCCCTGCCCCCTTCCCTGCCTTCTTCCCCATCCAGGCACCTGGATCTGGGACTTCTTCTTGCCTGGTGCTGGCTCGTTGATGGGCATCTTGATGGATTCCTCATAATTGGCCACTACGATGGAGCGCAGAGAGCTGTATTCTGTGTGCACCTGCGTGTCATCCACGGACCAGAAGCGGTGGAACTGCAGGTTCTTCAGGTACCTGTGGGTGGCCCCAGGGACACGTCTGCTCTGGGAGGCAGCTGGGCTGGCTCCCACCCCTGTTTCCACCTTCCTGAATTTGTTCCCTGCGCAAACTCCAAAGAAGAAACGCCATTCACATTGCAGATGTGTCCCTTCAGCAGGACAGCTCTCCTCAGTGGAAGCTGAGGAGAGGATTCACCAGAGACAGAGTGGGGAGCAGAACAGGTGGACTGACTGAAACCCACTGCTAAGGGGAGCAGCGGGCGAGACAGGAGAGGTCTGCTGCGCCATGTGGGTCAGCTCCCTGGCCCAGGAATTGAACTCAAGTTGCAGCAGCTGCCGATAGCTCCATAGTGCTGGGACTTAACCCCTAGGCCACCAGGGAGGTCAGGAGATGAGTGTCATAACAAGATCCCTTTAGTGTGGGTGTTCTCAGAAGAACCCTTGCTTCTGATTTGCACAAGGGTGCTGCTTGGGTGGCGACAGCCTTCCTCCCAGCCTCCTGGGCCATGTCACCCGCCTGGGCCATCTCCCCAAGGTTCACTGAGGGAGGACCTGTGGGCCACTTTGGGACCTGTGTCCACGGTGACGGGGAGAAGGAACTGACGCTTCAGGCTGCCCTGCTGCAGGAGGGTGGGCCAGGCACTCACCAGTCCGACGCGGACAGCATCTCCTGGTCGGGCTGGTTTCCCACGATGTGATCAATGATCTCGAGGGTGCAGCTGGGCCTGGGGGAGAGGCGGCTGCTTGGGGCAGTTCATCTCACATCGCACTTACTACGGGCGCTTGATCTGTGTCCCTCACGCGCTATCACTAGCCTGATTTTACAGGAAACTGAGGCACAGAAATGGAGTAACTTGCCAAGTGTCAGGGCTGGGATTTATTTGAATCCAGGGGGTCTGGTCCAGAGCCTGTGCTCTTAGCCTCTGTGCTGCCTCTTCAAGGCACCCTGGGAACCCTTAGGGGCCGGCCAGTGGCTCCCCATAAAGAAAGACCCTGTGCGTGAGGACAGGGCAGTCCACCCGCCCCTGCCTGGGGGGCACTCACAGCTTGGACAGCAGGGGGTCCATGAATGTTGGGGCCTCGAAGCCGGGCAAGAAGCGGCCTGTATAGTTCATCTTCTCCACCAGGGTGTGCGTGGTGTCCCCATACTGTGCATCGAGACAGGTGGGTGGATCTTTGAGCTCCCCAAGCCTCCACCATCTCTCAAGGCACCATCCCAACCCCGGGTTCCACCCCAGGTCTAACCCTCAATCCGGGTGTGACCTGGGGCAAGTAGCTTTCCTTCCTGAAGGGAATTGCAGTCTGGCATTTGGGGATTTCTTGGGGCAGAAGCTCTGTGAAGGTGGGGTACCCCCAGCTCCAGGGCCAAGCCCCCGTGTAGTGGGTGCTTATCAGAATGTGTGGGCTGAAGGAGAGCAGGTGAGGGCACTGGGTCACCCTCTGTTGAAGGCACCCCCGCTGTCTGGACGACCTGTGAGCTGCATCTGTCAGTGCTTAATCTTGAGATCTCTGAGTGGCGATCGTGCAGGCGCTAAACAGACGTGGCTAAACAGACCCGCCAGCTCTGTACCCCAAGAGCTCATTCCATCCTGGCAGTCACCTCAGCAGGGGTCGTGACTGAAGGGACTGGGGCACAGAAAGGTTGAGTGGGGTGTCGCAGGCTACTCATGGGGTCCACCGCCCGTCCTTGCTCATTTCAGCTGGAGCTCAGGGAGGCGAAGTGATTGGCCAAAGTCACAAGGCTGCTGCCTGGAGGCGCCCCCAGGCCCCGCCCCATCTGCTTTCTTGAGAGCCTCTGCCTGGAGCTTCCAGCCACAGCGTCAGCACCGGGGAGGTGGGGGGCCCCAAGGCTGACCAGGAGCTCTCCTCAGCTTGTGCCTGGTGGCTAAGCCTGGCGCTCAGACTCGAGGGAGAGGTCATGCTGGGGCGGGAGGGCTTCACGGAGCTGCCAGAGCCAGGAGGGTGGGGGTGCCACCATTAACTCACCGTCTGCAGCACAGCGAACTTCACCTTCCCGAACTTGTCTTCCTCCACCCACGGCTCCCGCACGATTTTGGCCCCTCGTTCCCGGGCTTTCTGCAGAGGACGTGGGGGGAGCCTTTAGGGCCGGGTCCCCCCCGGGCCTCTGTGGCCAGGGTCCTTGCCTGCTGCCCCAGTGGGCTCCCCTCTGCCTGTCCTGCCTTAGCCTCCTCCCGCTTCCCCAGCCTTAGGCAGGAGCCCGGGCAGCCCCGTCTGGCAGACGGGGACACAGCCCCGGACCCAGGGTTGGGGCTGGGGGGGACGAGCCGGGGGGGTTGGGGGTCTGCCTGCCTCTGCTGCCTCACTGTGACCCTTCCCCCTCTCCTGGCCTCCGTTTCCCCACCTGTAAAGAGTACGGTTGGATGAGAAAATGCCACGCTGGGCATTTATTGAGCGCCTACTATGTGTAAAACCCATGCCAGGTGCCGTCCGTTGGTGCGGGTATTCAGCACGTGCTCCTGCGGGCACGGCGCGCGTCTGGCTCCGTTCCAGGCCCCAACCTCTCACGCTCCCAGCAGCACGGTGCTGCGGGCGCCACTCGGGCCTCCGTGTGACAGGTGAGGGAGTCAAGGCACAGAGGTGGCCGCTCGGCCCAGGGGCGCACAGCTGGCAAGTCAGCGCCGGGATCTGCGCTCTGAGACCCCCGCGCGGTTACGGTTTGGAGGGGCTACGACCCCACTCTGAGTGCTGAGGTCGCTCTGGTTCTCTTTAGGGCCCAGGTGGGAAGCTTGAGGCCCAGGAGAGGTCACACTGTCAGGGAGGGGTGGGGTGTCGCCGGAAGCGCCACGCCTGCCCCCCCATCCCTCCCGCGCGGCGCCCCCCGCCCTGGCTGCTGGCCCCCGGAGCCGTGCTCACCTGCACGATGTAGTCACAGTCCTCCACCTCGAAGGCGATGTCCTTCACCCCGTCCCCGTGTTTCACCAGGTGGTCGCCCATCTCTGCGGCCAGCAGGGGTGGGGGTGGCACTGGGGTCATGGCCCCCTCACCGTACGCTCAGCCCCCCACCCCCATCTCCTTACAGACTGAGGCCCCTTCCCAGAGCCCGGCGCCCCCCCCCCCCGCAATACCTTGTCTCCACCACCTGACACTGGGAGCCCCCCTGGCCCTCACCCCACCCCCCCCCGGCCCCTCACCTTTGTTCCAGGGGTTGAGGGCGGAGGAGAGCACAAACACAATCTGGGGGCAAGGAGAAGAGAGGTGCAGGCTCCTGGGGGATGAGCCCTGGGTGCTCTTCCCTGCCCCCCAAAAGGACTTGATCACCCCCCCAGCCAGGAGGGATGCTCACTCTGGGTTCCAGCCCCTTCTCTGCTGTAGCTTCCTCCGTGGTCCTGAGGATGAGGAGCTCTCCCGTCTAGATCCCCCCTCCTGAGAGGCTGGCTAGGACCTGGGGTGTTGGCCCTGAGCCAGGCCCCAACATCTGTGAGGCCCAGTGCTGGGCCAGGCCGAGGAGTGGAGATGAAGCAGGTCCCCGACCCGTGCTGACAAGTGTGTCTGGTGGAGGGGCCGGTAGGCTCCCCTGCCCACCCACAGAGGCAGACGGGGCCTCCTGGCCTGCTTCACCCCAAGGTGCCAAAGCCTCAGGGAACTCAGAGCCCAGCAGGGAGAGATGGGTCTGGGGCGAGAGGGCCCTAAGCCGGGACTCACCTTCCCTTGCTTGACCACGTGGCTGACCACCTCCCGGGATCCTGTCTCCAGGCCCCGGTAGGCCAGGGGCTCAAAGCCCATCTTGCTGCAGTAGAACGACGCGGCCTGAATCCGGGAGGCGAGAGGGTCTGTGCAGGCCGAGGGCCCCCGGGCAGGAAGCCCCCCACCCGTGCCACCCCAGGCGCAGAGGTCCTCCCGGGGAGAAGGGCTCCTCCCTGGCCTGGGCTGACCCCGGTGGGTTTTCTGCCAGGCTCCGTGCCCTGGTTGTGTAATCGGATCCAAAGAGTATCTGTCCTGCCCGGACAGTCCCAGCGAGGCCCTGACCCTCCCCTCCAGGGCCGACCACGCACCGGGCGGGGGTCCGGCCCTCTGCCCTCTCCCGCGACACCTCTTCTCGGCTGCTACCTGCTTGGCATTGCCGACCCAGAAAGTCACAGAGTGGAAGTGCAGGAATCGGCCTCTCTCGGGCTGCGGAGGGAGGGGGCAAGGCTGAGACCCAGCCGCGGAGGCCAGGGTGGAGAGAGATCCAACCACCCGCAGCGTTTCTGAGAAAGCCTAACCCTGGGGCCGCTTGGCCCAGCGGCAGAAGAGGTTTCAGATAGAAATCGAACTACCTGGTCTAGGGTATTGGGAAGACCCGCCGGGGTGGCCCCCCCGCCCCCCGGGGCGGCACAGAGGGAAACAGCCTTCAGCCGCAGAATACGGATTTGTGTTCGATTTAACCGAGACAGGGCTAAGAGGTCAGCAGGAACATGAGAAGAGGGAGCCGTTTTCCTTGGGAGGCCGAGGTTGAGTCTGGGTCAGCCTGGAGTGGCCAGGGGTGGCCACTTGAGTGGATGGCATGCCCACAGTGCCGTCGGCACTCCTGTCCCGTGCCCTCGTGCCAGTGTCCCGGGAGACCCAGGCCCGGCCGTCCCCTCCGGCTTACCTTCGCTCCTTTGTCGCTGTAAGTCGTCTGAGGAGAAAGAAAAGGACACTAAGACTTGGGAGCTCAGACACCAGATGATCCTGGAAGTCACCCTGGGGGGTGCTGCCATGGCTGCTGGGTGCCACTTACCATGACTGATCCTGGTCAGACTTTCCGCTGGAAAGACTAGGACAAGAGGCCGGCGCCAAGCGCTGGACAGAAATATATAACTCGGAGCCAGGCCCGCCCCTGACCTCCTGGTCTTCCTGGAGGTGGGGGCTGATCCCGACCCTGGCAGGTCCTAGGTCCAGGAGCCTCTGATCCAGCCGCAGCCTCATTGGACAGGGCCATGCTGTCAGACCTGGGGGAGTGACTTGCCCAAAGTTGCTAGCCCGTGGGGGCGGGGTGGGGGCAGAAGCCAAGGGCACCCATCCAGGAGCCTGGATTTGCACTGTCTTCTCGCCTTCCAGAATCCAAAGCTGAGAAGCCAAGCCAGGCGGAGAGCAGCAGCGGCTCTGGAGTGCTCACTGAGGGAGAGTCTGCGGGGGCATTTGGGATAGGCCTGCTGGGCCTGTTTGCAGAGCTAGGGTGTGGCTGTACTTGGTCAAGGGGCTGTCCACCCTAGTGATTAGAGCGTTGGCTGGAGGGTTTGAGTCCTGGCTCTGCTACATAGGACTGGGGGGACAGTCACTGAACCCTCTGAGCCTCAGTCTCCCCATCTGTACAACGGGATCAATAATAGTGCAGTGGGAGGAAAACGAGACAGAGCTAAGGCTGTGGCACCAAGCCTGGCACACAGTCGGCTCTGGGTTGGTGTTAGTTATGACCTATTAGGTGGTTTTGGGTTTGGGGCAGCAGGGTGCTTGGCACTGCCTCAGCACTGGGGAGAAGGGTGGGGCCTTGCCCCACCCCAGGTTCTCAGCATCCCCAGCATGGTAGAAAGGTGGAGCTGACACCTCTGGGAGGAGGAGGAGGGCCTGGGGCTCTCCCCAGCACCCCCACACCTGCGTCCTCAGACTTTCCTTTCCCTGGGAGATGGGTGACAGCTGGCCCAGGGCCCCAGAGCAGCCCCGGCCTCTTGCTCCACCCCAGTCCCCAAAACTCCCTTGCTGAGTCATCCGGCCCCCTCTCCAGGGACCTGACTTGACTCTCGGCGCCCGAAACCCTTTCTGCTGCTGCTGGCAGTAGCCCCTGGCTGCGCTCCCCCCTCCCCGCTTGCGTTTGGCTCCCAAAATGCCTTGTATCAGCCCTTTTTTTCAAGTACAGAAAAACAGTCGGTCTGGCGAGGACTGGCCTCTGGGGTCCAACAATCCCATTTTTCAGATGAGAAAAACTGAGCCAGGAGGGGCCCGGGGCCACTCTTCCCTTCCTGCTGCCCTTGTCTTATCCGTCCTGCCGAGGAGCAGAGGGTTTTGTACCAGGGAGGGGCCCCTACCCCCTTCCTCGCCAAACCCTGCCAGCTACTCAACCCTAAGCTACACAGGTTTCCACCTCTTCCAGGAAGACCGCTCAGAGCTCCCAGGTCTGAGGTTCAGCTGTGCACGGCCGCAGGTCAGCGCTAGTCAGCCACCCGGGGCAGGCTCAGGCCAGGCCGCCTGCAGAGTGGAACTGGAACCGGAACCGGGGTATTCTGACCCCAGAGCCCACACTTTGAATCGCTGCTGCTATCTGCTATCCACATCAGTGGGACACGGGTGTGCCCACCAGACTGACAGGACACTGAGGCCGAGACGGGCGGCAGGGCTGATGGAAACAGGGACCCCAAACGCGGCCCCTTTTCTTCTGAACGCGGATCTCGTCCGCCCAGTGCAGACACCTTCTCCCCTCTTTTCTCCATTTTCTGGGCAAATTGGAGGCAGGGGAGGGGATCTTAGCCCACCCTCAGCCCCCTGGGTCCCAGTTTCCAACTGAGAACATGGGAGCCAAGGAAGCCAAGTGTGGGGCTCACAGACCAGAAGTTTCCACGTGAGAGAAAGGCCCAGGGTCGCCCGCCCATATGCCCCACAGCGGGAGGAACATCTTGTCCCCTTGCTTGTGGTGGCGACTCAAACCCCCGCTCCCGAGCCTGGCTCTGTGTCCTCGCACGAAGTCAATATTTACTGAATCAAGGAAGCCTGTCATTGGCAGTGTCGGGCGAAGGCAGGTGTCCGTTCAGCTGGGCAGGGCTGGTGGCTTTGTCCCAGCCCCCTGGACTTTGCTTCCAGAAACACTCTGGGTCTCTGGTGCAGTCTGGACACACCCTTCAGGGCCCTCCCACTGCAGCAGAGCGGGCGAGGGGGAGCTCGAGAACCAGTCCTGGTGCCCCGTGGCCCTTCCAGAGCCCCGGGAATGCTTAGCCTTTTGGCCTGTGCTAAATGGGGAGGGGCGCGCCCAGGGGGTGCTGCCTTTGGGTTTTGATCTCTCACGGTGGGAGGAGAAAGGCCCAACATTCCCAAAGGTGAGGGCAGACTTTGTTCAACTCCTTTCTCTCTTCCTTCTCCTCGGCCTACTCAACATGAAGACACCAAGGATGATGATTCCTTTAGAACTTTCTGAACAGGTCTTTGCTCTCGCTTGCTGCAGGCACACAGACCACAATACACACGCGGGCCGTGTCCGTGACCGGGTCGGCCGCAGGCCACTGGTCGTTGAGGTCTCTGGCAGTCAGATGTTACGCGTGGATTTTCAACTGTGCTGTGTGGGAGGTCAACGCTCCAAGCCCCGAGTTGTTTGAGGATCAACTCCTCTTCTCCAAGTGGAGGAGAAATGTGAAGCCTCACAATTAGGTCGAAGCTCCAGAAAACACTGTCTTGAATTTTGCCATGTGGGCAGCTTGCACTTTGAACCCTCCGAGTATTAAAAATACAGCAAGTCTCTAGCAGATCCTTCTTACTGTGATTTTTGCCTTTTGGATTCTTTTGGGAAAAAAAAAAGGCGACGACATGAAAGAGACAGGCACTCTAGATGGAGACCAACTTTTGAGGTTTGATCAAGCAGTTTTGAGTCGCTCATGAACTCTTGTGAAATCACGTCTGACCTTTAGAGACCTGTGGGTTTTTTTTTTTTTTTAGGAGGTTAAACTCGGGCTCTGAGACCAATAGACAAGAGCCTGGTGTGTCTCTTGGGCTTGTTTGGCCCTGTTTCATCTCATCCTAGCTGTAGGGGGTAGGAGTGGGGAGCTGCTGAGTCCCCCAACCCCCAAACTCTATTGAAGAGCAAACAAATGAAAATGGTCTATCATTGAGGTGTATGATGTGATGGGGTTTTTTTCTTAAAAGATTTATTTAGTTATGCATACAAGAACTGGGGTACAGGCCAGAGGTGTGGGGATGAGAGGATTCACCAGAGACAGAGTGGGGAGCAGAACAGGAGAGTTGACTGAAATATATTGCTGAGGGGAGCAGCGGAGAGACAGGAGAGGTCTGCTACGCCATGTGGGTCAGCTCTCTGGCTGGGGATTGAACTTGTGCTGCAGTGGCTGCGGTAGCTTCATAGTGCTTCGTCTTAACCCCTTGTGCCACCAGGGAGGCCCCTTATTGTGGTTTTGATCTGCATTTCCTTAATGGCTGATAATGTGGATCTTTATGTGCCTGTTGTCTATTTTCATAGCTTATTTGGAAAAAATAGTCACATCCTTCGCCCTTTTTAAAATGATATTGTCGGGCTTCCCTGGTGGTGCAAGGGGTTAAGACACAACCCGTGAACTATCCTCAGCGTCTGCAGCATGAGTTCGATCCCCAGCCAGGGAGCTGACCCACATGGCACAGCAGACCCCTCCTGACTTGCCCACTGCTCTCCTCAGCAGTGTATTTCTGTCAGTCTACCTGTTCTGCTCCCCACTCTGTCTCTGGTGAGTTCTCACACCCCCACACTTCTGGCCTGCACCCCAGTTCTTGTATAAATAAATAAATCTTTTAAAGAAAAAAGAAAGGCTTCCCTGCTGATGGTCAGCCAGGGAAGGGAGTCCGGCGGGAACCCCAGTGGTCATGGCTGCTGTAGCTTGGACTGGAGGGGCCCAGTGGCCTATGGTCGTTCTTCACTAAATTGGTAAATAAACCAAAAGGCTTTGGTTAAGACACAACCTATGAAACTGTCCGCAGCCTCTGCAGCATGAGTTCGATCCCCAGCTGGCCAGGGAGCAACCCACATGGTGCAGCAGACCTCTCCTTTCTCACCCGCTGCTCCCCTCAGCAGTGTATTTCAGCCAGTCTGCCTGTTCTGCTCCCCGCTCTGACTCTGGTGAATCCTCTCACCCCCCACACCTCTGGCCTGTACTCTAGCTTTTGTATGTATAAATAAATCTTAAACAAAAAAATGAACCTAAAAGTAGCCAAACAGCTCAGCACTTGGCCTCATAGAATCTACAGCTGCAGCCCCCTCAGACAGACAGAATGAAGCTTCAGCGGCACAAGTCCAAGGGTTGAGTTAGCAGTTGGGGACCGCAGGGGCTGAGGGCTGGCCAAGGTGCCCCGCTGTTATCAGGGCTGGTGAAGCAGGCCAGGCCCAGCTGGGCGGGGCTGGTCTTTATCTCTTGGGGTGCATGGTCCAAATGCCTGGTGCAGGCAGCTGTATCATCAGGCACCTGGGCCGCCTGAGGGTCAAGAGAGCTGATGGCAGGGGATACGGTGGCGGTGGCCCTGTGCTCCGGGCCTGTGTGACCCTGGGCCCTCCCAGTTCCTTCCCGTGTCTCCACCTTCTAGACGGTGCAGGCAGCATGTGCTGGGCCTGATGTGGCCTCGGGCTTGGCTCTGGATGCGCTGGGGAGTGGCCTGGGCATCTGCTTTTGCTGCTCCAGGCTCACTCCGTCTAACCGCAGCCTCTTACTTTTCCTTTGGGCAACCAAAGGAACCTTCCCCTTCTCTGTGACTTGGGGGGCGTGTGAACAAGGACTGGCCAGCTGGTCAATCTGGGGTCACCCTGGGACTTGGACTTGACAAGGAGGCTCTGCCTGAGCCCGTGTGGCCACGCTCATCCAGTGGTGCTGTGGTGGCCACGTCTGACTCCGTGGAAGGCCACCCTGCCTGAGTGTGAAGTCAGCCCAGAGAAAGCAGGGAAGGGGAGGAGAAAGACAGAGCCAGGGGTCCTAACAGCTGGCCCTGGGCATGCTTCCGCATGAGCCGAAATGTTCCTTCTTTTGCCTGAGAAAGTCTGAACTGGGCTTCTGTCATCAACAACCAGACACCTTGACCAGCCCAGGAGGACAGTGTCCACACCCCAGCCCTGTTTATGCGCACCTGTTCAAGAGCAGGCTCTGATGAGGGGGGTCATAGGAGTCATCTGTCCAGGACCTGGCATTAAAATTGGCTTTTTGGGGCTTGCCTTGGATGGGGCAATACAATTGTTGAGATCCGCTGGCACAAAACTACAAATTCAGCAGACTTTTAGCATTTTTTAGTGATTATCTTTAAATTCTTCCTAGCCAGGGCGCCTCGGGTGGGCAGGGAGGTAGGCTGCCCGCCACTCCCAGGATGGCCCTTCTGCTCAGAGGCAGAGAGAGAGGCTCCTTAAGATCAGCCACAGCCGCAGACACGTCTCCTGGGCCATGTCTTCCCTGGCAGCCCCTGTTTGGTGCTGGTCTTGGCACAGGTGGAAAGGGCAGCCCTGAGAGCTGGTGTTTCCAGCAGCCTTGCTAGGTCTTCACCACTGGCTGCTGCTCTTCCCAGTCTCACTCCGCCCCTCCCTTTCACCCAGGTGCATCCCTAACAACACCATTCACCCCAAGTTCTGTCTCTAGAAGCTCTGCTTCTGGAGAATTCACCCCATGACAATACCCTCGCTACCTGCACCTGGGGCCAGCATCCCACACCCCCCTCAGTGACTCTCTCTGCCCCTTAGTGTGCTATTCGCAAGCTCTGTCCTCTCCCATTTTACGAATAAGAAAACTGAGACCTAGGAAGGGCCTGAAGACTCCCCAAATAACTTGTCCACTGTGGTTAGAAAATTCTGGCCTAGGTCTTAGATCTAGACCACTTTATATCACTGTTTGTTATAGTTCAAACATAAAACCAATTCCTTCTCTTAAGGTTTTAAGGAGTCTGGCATCCATTAAGGGGACATATATGGGAAGCCTAAGGTCCACACGTTATTACTTTATTTTAATTTTTGTTTGTTTATTTTTAACTTTCACATTTAACACTTTTAAAAGTGTAGAACAAGCATTTCCTATAAAATGTGAGGTTGTAAATATTTCAGGGCATGGGCTGGGGGGTGTCATATATCTTGACTAACTATTCAACTCCGCTGTTGCAGTGTGAAAGCTGCCAGAGGCAGTGTGTAAATGAAGGGCCATGGCCATGTGCCAATAAAACTTTATTTATAAAAAAGACATGATGAAAAAACAGAGGGTCGTCCAGATTTGGACCAAGGGCAGAAGTTTGTTCACTCCTCCCCTAAACAACCAAAAAGAAAAACCACCCAAAAACCAATGAATTAAGCCTTGGCTTGTAGCATTGGCTGAATTCTGTGGTGTACATACTCCCTGTGACCAACTTCAAGCTCTTTTTTTAAAAAAAGATTTATTTACGCATACAAGAGCTGGAGTACAGGCCAGAGATGGGGGGTGGGGTGGGCGCTGGGGAGGAGAGGACTTACCAGAGACAGAGTGGGGAACAGAGCAGGCAGACTGACTGAGGGGAGCAGCAGGCGAGACAGGAGACAGGAGAGGTCTGCTGCGCCATGTGGTTGCTCTCTGGCTGGCCAGTATCGAACTCATGCTGCAGAGGCTGCAGAATGCTTCATGCCGTGAAGCGTGAAGCAGTGCTTCTTTAATGCGATCCTTAATCCCTTGCGCCACCAGGGAGGGCACCCAACTTCAAGCTTCTAAGAAGCTTCTGAACTTGGAGCTGGGGAGGGGGTGTAGAGAAACCCATCTCACAGACACAAGCACCTTGGTGACTCTAAAATGTAGCAAAATGGGGGCCTCCCTGGTGGCACAACCAGTTAAGATGCAACCTGTGAAGCTGTCTGCAGCCTCTGCAGCATGAGTTCGATCCCCAGCTGGCCAGGGAACAACCCACATGGCACGGCAGACCTCTCCTGACTCGCCCGCTGCTCCCCTCAGCAGTGTACTTCAGTCAATCTACCTGTTCTGTTCCCCGCTCTGTCTCTGGTGAATCCTCTCACCCCCTACACCTCTGGGCCTGTACCCTAGCTCTTGTATGCATAAATAAATAAATCTTTAAAAAAATAAAATGTAGCAAAATGGTTAGTAAGTATTAAGATTTGAACATTTATTCCCTTTGTTTTCCATGCAACTTATTTAGTTGGAAGTTTGTATTATTTAATTATTTGCATCTTTCAAATTTAATTTTAATATGATTTAATGTTAAGTGATATTGGTGCTTTAAGAAAAGACACCAAAATATGTTTCACAGACTTGCTGAGGAAACCACGGTGGGCTCTCCCGGGCCAGGTAATAGTTGTTTTCTAGCTCTGGTTGCCTCAGGTCTGGGGTGGGAGGTCCCCAGGATAGAGGTGGGGGTGGGGAGCAGAAACGTGGAGGTTGAGCAGCTGCTGGGGCGTCAAGGTCCAGCACATCAAAGAGGTTTTCTCTTTCCTCTTCAGCCAACCTGCTGTGGCGTCAGCAGCTCCATCACTTGCATAAGTTGAAGGTGAAGTTGCCCAAGATGATCCTTTGATCCCTTTGGGGCCGGACCTGTGGCCTTACCAGCCAAAGTCCCCACATTGGTGAGCATCTCCCCCACTTCAGTGGGCAGCGTTGACTTTCCTCCTTCGTGAGGGCAACAGGGAGTTAGCTTTGGTCTCTGATTTGCTGAGTGACCTTCAAACAGTTGCTTAACCTCTCGGAAGCTCCTTTTCCCGCCTCTGAATATGGGGAGTGGGGTGGGGGAACTACTGTCGGAGCCTCGTCACCTAC